CTTATTCATGTTTAGAATGTTGTTTAGTTTCTCAAAAGCTGATTGATTTATGATTGATATAATTGTTTTTAATATTGTTTTATTTAATGCGTTTTAATTAATTTATTGCATATAGAATCTGTATCTACTAATTTTGCGGAGTCTCACACACAATTCCATATACCATATAAAATAGGAGATTTTAGGGGCTGGGGGAGGAGTCTGTGTACCGATTTTAGCTTCCGGCCTTGTAAAAAAAATGCAAAAAATCCTATATAAAGTCTAACACCCTATTTTAAGGGGTTGGGTGGAGATTTAAAAAAAAATATGCAAACTATTTAGTATGCATACCAATTTTTAACTTGAAAAGTGTGGAATGCTTCATACAAACTTCCACCCCCCATTTAGGAAAGTGGGAGGTTAGAAAGGGTCAAAAAGGCTAGCCTATGCTACTCTTCATCCCTTCAACTATATCCACTTAAAAAATCACGTCAATTCGTCGCTCCTTTTTGCCGTGAAAGAAGACACACAACAGACATACACACTTTCCCATTTATAATATTAGTATGGATAGATTTTATTTTTATGATCAAATTATATTGATATTATATGTGCGAAATAATAATGTGCGAGCTCCCTCTACGCATCGCAAGAACTTGCGAATTTATGCGCACCAAAATCTTATCTTCCAAAATCTGTTTCTTTTTCTTGTATCTACGAAGCAATAACAAAAGTGCACACTTCTCTTTAAAGATCCATATCACGACCTAGTTTTCAATTTAAAATATGTTTAGTACTGTTGACGGTCGTCGAAGGAATGGTCATCCTGGGAGACGCCTTGTCGCACGATAATATCCTGACGATATCGTATCGCAGCAATTCGCATCGTAATTTTCTTCGTTGCGAATTCGCATCGCATCGCAGTTTTGTGTACGAGCCCATACTTATTTCGAATGCGAATTTGTTTTGTGCCGTAACGTTAAATGATGTTTATGTTATGTGTAATTTTACGTGCATAAGAATCATCGCAATACCTAATTAATTCTACTGCCCTTTGTTTTGATTGTTCTGTGGCCCTAATCTTGTTGAGAATATTCCACTAATTGATTCTCAAGGCAGTGACTGGCAATTTGAATTGAAATAAGCTGGTTGCTATTCATATCACGCTTACCTATACTTATAAAGGATCTCTGATGTGATTAGGTTACGCGGCGTGGAAGTACTGTAATAGATTGCTATTTCCTGCATAAACAACGAAATAAATGCTTATGCTTAAGGTACTTACGGCAGTTCATTTTTAACTTTACTGAGAATCAAATATCTGAACAATAGTGATGATGACAAAGTATGAAAATGAATAAAAACATCTATTTAGTCCGCCAGTCAGAGTAAAGCAATATGGGACACATTACTTTTGTTATTGCGATGCGAAATAGAAGTTGAATAAAGTGTGAAAAAGAAGTGCTTGCTACATGTTTGCTCAGTTTAACAGGTACTATAATAAACAAGTAAGTAGATATGAAATGTCTATTCTTCGCTAGCCTTGTCAGGCAGCCCCTGTTAAATGTAACAACGCCTTATTAATGGCCTGTACTCCTATTGCCGTTGCTGGGTAGATTCTAGTTTTTATAAATTGAGTTGTCGCTGTGTACGCTACATGTGTATATAGGTAGGTACTTGTTTATCACTGTTTTATTCCTCACTGAGTAAATATTGATTATAGACTAGACAAAAGGTCAACATTGCTGCTAGCCTTGGATGACGTCAAAGGAAAAAAGTCTAAACAATGCATTCACCTGATTTTCTATTGCTACAATATCCGCGATTGTTGTGCCACGTGAACCGTAACATGGTAGATAGATGCATTCGTATACTAAGTGCCTGTTAATATGCTCCATGGCATCTATAAGACCGGTGTATTGACGGTAATTGTCTTGTAAAAGCAATTGTCGTAATTTCCAAGCCTGGTCAAAAATTACTTGTTATTGTTACCAATTATATTAACAAACAAAACGTATGATTCAAGTGAAACATGCAATATACAAAAACATGTTCGGGAAATGAGTGGAACATGTTTACAAAACAGGGAGCCAACTTTATACTAATTAAAATATTTTAAGCCTGCAAGCAGCGACTTCTTACCTTAGTTGTCCGCAAGTTTAGATGTCATGATTTTTAAATATAGATAACCGTCTTGTTAATTAGTTTCGTTTAGTATTCTATAAAAATGTTTTTTTGTTTTGTCTTGACTACGTCTTTCCTTATCAACTCTTACATTTTGAATGCATGAAGAAGTGCATAAATTGTAATGATACACGGGCACGAACAAGATTTACCTATAAAGTCTTAAAAAATTACTCCTCGGTACTAAAATATCGTTTTAAGTATTTTTGCATTCAATAGAAAATAGAATTCTAAAAAAGCTAGTGAAATCGACTGTGCTCTGAAATGAATGATAAATTGACAAAGGAGAAACGACCTGACGAAATTGATTTATTGTGAACCCCGGTGTAACGCTTAGTCAAGGTAGACAATACAATGACATGTCGCAGTGTATTGTTTTTGTTCGCGACGCACTTGCGGTTAATATAATGTGGTAGTACATCTCATAATCCGTGAGAGTATACCAATGCGTACATGGATACATCAATATTTTCCTCTAACTCTATATATACTATGGACGCATTTATCATGCAAAAAGTTGCGACCCCAATTATATGTATGTGTGTACAAATTGATCTATAATTCTCTTACTGAGGATGTTTAGTTAGAGAGGCCGAAGAGAATGGAACTTGTTGAATTTATTATTTTACCCATGTCATAAACATTGAAGTATAGAGAATACAAAAAATTATCAGTTCAGATTTTATATCCTGCATCGTGATTGCAATCACAAGTACTCAAGTCAGTTTTCTACCGTTGTGAGTGTTTAAAATAAATAAATAAACGCATAATATTTCACCTACATATCGCACTCATTATGTGTTTGTTATAAAGTACCTATTCATGTATATCGGAATTCACGAAAGAGAAAAATTACAATAATTATGTCCACTTCAACCTTTAGGTGTTAAGTTCGAATTTATTTGCAACCGTGTATCTTAAATACCGCCGTAGAAACAGCCGTCAGGCGTCTTAACGTCCGCTTCTCATACATAAGGGTGCGGGTTTGCAATATACCAACGGCAACTACCAATGTGCCTATTTTCGAGATATTTATGTAAAACATAGTGAAGAAACGTGGGCTTATAATTTGTAATTATAAGTTATAAATCGCCAACACCAATCGCATTGAGTAAGTGTGGTGACTCATGCTCAACCCTACTCCGTGTCAGAAGGGGGCTTTGGTCAACAGGAACCACTTATACTCTGTTAATGATCTTAAATAGGTACCTACAGTTTCGATTTAAATCCAACCATATTGTATGCGTTTTCAAAATTTACTGATTACATCACCACACGCTTTTGTAGTATGAACAATGTAAATATATACGTACCTACCATGCGTAGGTCTCTACCAGCGATTGACCCACGCGTGACGACTTTTGTAGCAAAATGTGGACCGTTTGTATCAATGGATAACTTTCATTTAATTTCTATTATTATGATACAGTAGCGAGCACTTTTAGTTGTGCAGTATAAACAACTTTAGGCGTGGTTATGATGACGGTATGATGATTTTTATCCAAAATGCTTCGTCAAAACCACGGTACAATTAGATTGCTCATTGAGCCTTATTCAGTACTCTCACTAAGACGAAAGAAAAGTACCATCAAGATACTACTTCATACTGGTATTTTATCAGACGGGTATAGTTCTCTGGCCGTACCCGTCCAATTAAATTGCGTAAAACTATATATATATATATGTCAATGCCACCAAAATATATGTATGTTCAATAGTAATTCGATTACTTGTTTATTTATTAAATTTTTATAAAATTAAATATATATTTTCATATTTTTAATGATTTACTTGGTGAAATGATTTTGTCTTATACTGTAGACAAATTCCAAGCTGACAATATCGAATCAAATTACAGGATGAAATTCTAATAAAGCAAAAGTAATTAAAACAAATAAAATGATTATAATAGTGCTTCCATTTAAAAAAGACTATTTATTTGTGTTGTTCTTAGAAAGGCACAGACAGCCAAGGTCATGAGCCTGTTAGGAAGGTTTTCGTTAAAACTAATGCTTACTACATCAACAAAATTAGTGATCGAATGATTCTATCTATATAATATGTACTATATGTTTTAGCTTCACAATACAACTCGTGTGTACAATCTGTATGTATTTCTTCTATGCTCGGCTGTTTGTAAACTTATTATTTATCAATCTAATGACTATTGCACATGCGATTTAGATGCGTGTACGCCTTGCTACAATGCCATTTGTTTTTGATTACATATATATGTGTTACTATGTACCATAAACATTAGCTATTTTTGTTGTTATACTACTGTCTGATTATGCTACTGACGGTTCTTACCTTCAGTAAAGTGTTAACCAAGAGGTTTCCGTCAGCTTAAACAAATCATTGCCATCCAAGCAAAAAACGCATACCACATTTTACCGGTATTATAGGAGTCTTTCCGTCGAAATCGATATAAGTATAATCCTAAATGTAATGGTGCATTCATCACATCTGGCGAATAAGCTGATACGGGGAAAAATGAACGCGCGCAGGTCGCGAGCTAGAGATCAGAGCAGTTTAGAGCTCAGATCTGAATGCACCCTTAAAGGACGGGATTCTCCCATTTAAGTTTGCTGGGCTGTATTATTATTTTATAAAGGAAAGTACGACGTAAAATCCATAGCGTGACGTGTTTTTATCTGCTTGCACATTGCACGTCTCAGTATCTGCATTACTATATACCTATGTTATTATTGATGTGTACATATTGTGTACATATTGTTCTATCTTTGTGACGAACATCCTTACAAATGACGAGTGATGTGAATACAACACTTAGACCAGTAGTATCAAAATTGTACGTGATTTTTAATACTTTACAGGTGCAGCACCAACTACTGCAACATCAGTGACACAAATCCCATTGCTGGGTGTCAACGGCTCGGGAATACTGCATGTGAACCTCACAACAAATTTGCCCATCAACCTAACGGATACAATGCCCAAAGTCAGCGACCCCATCGTGCCGGATGACAGTACGTACTTAACATTATTACTGAACTTAGATTAGTCGGGTTAAGATAAAATTTAACCGCGTGATATCTATCCGTGACTCAGCATTGATCGTACGATTCCCTACAATAACATTGACTTTATTTATTCAAGAACGAACACATTTTGTTATGTTTTCCTTAAGATTCTTGTAATTTCATGTTTTTTATTCTGATATTGTCAGAAGTACTATACTATCAATAGATTTGCTGTTTTTGTGGGATTCTTGAGAATGAACGATTAGTGTGGGGACCATAAGACTAGTCAGTAATTAGGTTGGCCATGTCTGCCTACAGCTTTCCTGACACACTACCTCAATTCAATTTATGTTGAATTATTTCAAATACTACTGAGAAATCTTTTCAAACATTATTACTTCAGTTTGTTATGAAACATTATAATGTAGCGAATAGTTCTGTAATCAGGTGTATCAATCAATTAATTGTTTCTTTTTTCTTGCGAAGTAATGATAAGGAATTTCAAAATAGTTATTTTTTATTACGGCCATAAATGTTCTTACCTTGGCAGTATTATAAATTAAGAAGTGTATCATATACCTAGTACTTTTTACAGCGTATACAATACAATCAATAAACAAATCAGCTAACAAACAAGTTTACTAGGAAAAACGGGTGATTAGATACTTACATATAGACTTAAATGCCAATATATGGCACTATAGTGTCTTATAAGACAGCATCTACATAACATAACACTCTCAGGACCATTAACGTTGGTATTACAATTTCTTATTAGAATGAACTTTGTAATAATAAAAAATTTAATGCAGCTCATAGTATCAATTAGGAGTAGTTATGACAGGTTAGTTTTAAATTTCGATTTTATAGTATTGAATAAACAGAGCATCGATTCCAGTTACATCAACGACTGAATAAAAAGTGAAATCCGATTGGCTTTCAGTAGTTAATGTGGAAAATTGAGAAATTTGTGACGGTAGCTACTTAGCTACCGTACTGTAACAATTAGTATTGGGTGGACAGTTAAGCATAATACTCACTCTGTGTTCTCTACTACTTATTGTTTATTATGTTTGAAAATAAATACAATGTTAAGGACATTGCTTATTGTTAGTTATATGATATTTTTACCTATGTGATACAATTTCTGTAGCGTAGATACATCTGTAGCACAAAACATAAATCCGCTTGAAGTACAAACCGTATGATTTTCAAAAAATATCTTGATCGTCACCTATTTAAATAAGAAAACAATTGGATGCCATTACAACCTGAGATTATTAACACAAGTAGTAAGGCGTTCTGAGCGTTCAAATTGAATTAAACGCTATATATGACACGCGTATTTATAACTCAAACTAATGCAGTCAATTATATTGAAGGAAAAATGAAATAGTATGTAACTAAACAAATATATGAAAATAAGTATTACTTTTAATTGAAATTTCTGCGCAGCTTCACTTGATTTAATTGCTAAACTGATTTAGTAGTTTAATTTTAAACTTTAGTAGCTACTTAAACTTTAACTAGCTAATTCCGCGCGGGTTCACTCGCTCTGCTCGATGCCTATTAATCGTAGCGTGATATTTTTTAGCCTAGAGCCTTCCTCGATAAATGCGCTATCCAACACAAATATAATTATTCAATTCAGACTTGTAGTTACGGAGATTAGCGCGTTCAAACAACCAAACAAAAAACATACTCTTCCGCTTTATATAATATTATAAGATATAGATTAGGTCTTGGTAAAAATGTATGAAAGGCTCCGTCAACGATGCTATAGCTAAGTGATGACAATTAACGTATATACATTTTGCGACAGATCCCTAAAGTTACCGCAGAAGGAAAATTGAGATTTTTTTTTAGAATCTACATTTTCACTCTGATATTGTTACAAAATTTTACCTTAATGAAACTTAATGAAATGCTTTGTATATTACAGAATCACTCAGACCATAATCATAAACTGCTGGCTTATTACAGATATTTAAAACGTGTCATTTATTATGAAGAAGTCAGAATTCCTAATAAGAAAAAATCCCATAAAATATGGTCAGCCAGTACTAAAGATAATTACTACATTGATGATTGAACTATTTAATCTGTACCCGTCATTACTAATCTAGGAATAGAGGTTTCTGGTAGGTAGGAGTACATAAACAGAATTGTGTCTGGCATCTAGCCAATTTATGCAAAATATTGTAATTTGAATAAATTTTGTATAAATTTGTTACGTTTTACGTTTACGTTTTTACTTTGTTTACGACTATTTGTATTTATACTAAAGAGAACTTTTTAGAGTCACTTAAGGACATGTTAAGTCCTCATTGAGGAGGCACTAGAGAAAAGCCAGGTGCGGGAGTGCTTCTAGTAGCAAAGTGCTTGCATGTACAGAAGTAGATAGTACATGCAAAGTTTCTTAATTTATTAAACTTTATTTATTGCAAATTAGCGGCTTATCAATGAGGACGTTACTAACTAGTTAGTAGATTCCGATTAAGTATTTAATCTTCAGATAGAATATCATGAACATTAAGTTCATAATTACATCGACTATTAAGAGCATCGATATTTTCGACAGCTACAGTGATTGGACACACAGGACCTAACCTACTTTTGCGCCGTCTGGTGAGCACATAAAAGATAGTCCTCATTGCAATCTGCACGTTTCAACGATTTTATTTCTACACAATTTTAATATATACATATATCTTAATTTTGTAAATATATTGCGCTGTTTACAAGCTTTCACGTGGAAGAGCCATACTTCGATACGAATGGGCTGACTCGACCGGAGTTATACCACAGCCTTACAGAATACCGACGTGAAACAATGCTTGCGTTCTGTGGGCTTAGTACGAGTTTGTTTCACGTTAATAGAAACGCTCCAAGGAACCAACTACAGAGCACCGAACGCGGTCTCGTTTCGATCACTTTAAACATATAACAAACTCGTACTAAGGCCTCTGTTTCGCTGTTTATGTGAACAAAGTTACCGGAGGTCCAATCTTCTCCATTTCCAATCTCAAAATCGTCGATCCTTAACAGGCCTATGAATGCTATGGATAGCGCCAATTGCTTACTATCGGCTCGTTCGACGCTATTACCCTATAAAAACAGTGTACATAATAATTTAAATTACTTTTTCTTACTTAGATGTATTGTATACACTCTTCACAATTTTAAATGGCATCCATTAAGCACTAAGGTTTTAACTCGAAACAGCGATTAACAGGTTATATCATTCAGAAATGAAGTCATTCGGACATTCATTCATTTATTTCTGACACCCTTAACGGTGTAATGTCGACATAACTTGTAACCGTTTCACATTTTATTTAATATTCATCCCAAGATACTTATTGTCACTGCTTCCCATGGGTGTATCGTGTTCATGACAAAAGGCGGTAACCTTTGTTCGAAGCAATTGTTACTATTTTCATAATTATTTATACAAGCTGGCTGCATACGAGCGGGCTGACAAAGCTTAATGAACTAAATTGATATATCTAGAACCCTCTTTATAAGAGCCCCGCACGATGTCACACGTTTTACTTACCACTGTTTCGAAGTCGTACCCGTGGCACGAGAACATGAACTATTAAATCTTTATTTGTTATTTTTACATAATTGTTATCTATTTGTGCAGATTTCACTGATGTGTTCAAAGAAACACCGGAGAGGATCGTGTCAGAGCAAAACCTTTCTAACTTGACTTACGTAAGTGTATATTTTTTAAGGGTTGTACACATATAGGTATTTATATGGACCTGCTAATTAAAATAGATAGAATGAAAAACCTTTGTTTCAAAAGCAAAATATTAAAAAAATAATCTCAGGCGAAATTCGGTGCACTGAGTGTGTAAAAAGTACCATTTTATCAAATTAAATGACAAATAAACTTATTAATCTGCAATAGGAATAAAGTGCCCATTTGCATTTGAATATACCTATCACATTATTTTATGAAATTGTTTCTTAACATCTGTATTAATATTATTTGTTGTTCCTTTTTAGGACCACCACAACTTCTACAATAGTACGTTCATCGGTAACGTGACGTTCTTTAAGGATTACTGGACTAACATCACTATCGAGAAGGCAGAGGTTCACCAAGTGCTCAGTAATTCACACAGGAGAGCCACTGTAAGTAACTACGTCACTATGATGGGAATCATCGTCACAAACAAATTATACTAACATGTTTATGTTAAAATAATAGTTAATTGGCGACGGAGTAAGTGCTACGGTATTATCTGCTTGGATACGTAGCTGGCGACGTCACCGTGCCAGCCCAATGAGACAGAGCTCTTAGTGGAAGGTGGCAGTCAAAGTGCTGATCCTAACCGACTGAGAATAAGATCGCGTAAAAGAACATGTAACATATTCCGCCCCTCCAATAGCGTGCCACTGTGCTATAGAGTATAATACTATATTTGTTTGTTTTATTTACAGTCAATACAACTGAACTTCGATTTCCCATTCTACGGTCATAACATCCGCAACGTGACAGTGGCGACCGGGGGATTCATCTACACGGGCGAGCATGTCCACAACTGGTTGGCAGCAACACAGTACATCGCCCCGTTGATGGGTAACTTCGACACCACGCTCACCAACGACAGTAAAATTAAGCTATACGATGATGGTATGTTCGTATTTATATTATATTCTTCGGCTTGCTCTGCGGTTTCCGTCTACAGTACCCTAGTCAGCTGATGCGGAGGATGTAACTTTTTGTGATTCATGATTAGACTAATGTTTTATCATTTTGAAAACTAACATTATTTCAATGTCTTGCGTTAGTTCTTAGTAAGTTGAGTTTTGTTTATGTAGAAGATTCCGTGCTTAAGTATTTAATCTTACTGGACTATTTTGTGATAAGGATCCTCTTTAGATTCCCGACCAGGTCTGCAGACAACCTTGTGGGCAGGAGTAGGAACGGGGTGGCTTTTATTCAGTAAGAGTTACAGCTCTATCGCCTCACCCAGAGCGGGGAGAGCCAGTCGATGACTTTCCCCTATCAAAAATATTCCCTTATAGTCTGAGGTTTTTCACCTTTGGTTAAGTAAAAAGCAAACAAACCTCGCCTCGCGAAATAACATACGTGACGTGTTCAGTTCGTTCCTTTCTATTTCTGTTATTATTATTTAATTAGTTATTTAAATATAATTTCAGGTGAAAAGTTCTCAGCATTCTGGGAGAATGTCACCCTTCAAGAGGACACTACAAAGAAGTTCACATTCGCTGTAACACTGTACAAGAACGGTGACATCATTTTCGCGTACAAAGATATCCCTATAGACGTGCAAGAAATCAACGACACTGAACACCCTGTGAAAGTCGGTATCAGTGACGCTTACCTCACTGATAAAATTGTATTCTGTAAGTACTCATGTCACTCGATACGGCGCTACTGTTCAAATGTAATTCATATTTAAAATAATTATAATCATTATTGAGTCTAAATATAAAATACGAAGCATTTAGATACTTATCTCACGGTAAGGTTTTAATTTGAATTTAACAGCATTTATGGTCTATAAAATTAAATGTGTATACAAAATTTTACTTGAAATGAGCTGTAATTTCAGTTCAATGTAAAGATATCTTCATACATATTCGAATTAAGTGGCTTAATTTGTATTAAATATGATAATGATAAATGTAAAATGTAGGTGCTTATAAAAACAAAAAAAAACATAACATAACATCACGCCTTTATCCCCGAAAGGGTAGGAAGAGGTGCACATTTCGGCACCTAATGCCACTGTACAATGCAACACCCACTTTTCACTATTTGTGTTATGAGTCCCATGTAATAGGGGGTGAGCCTAATGCTATATACCGGGCACAATTCCAGACCCCGTGCTACTACTAAGAATTTTTAAAAAACCCAGTTATTCTTTGCCCGACCTAGGAAGCGAACCCGAGACCGCTTGCCCGGGAGTCGCACGTGCGACCACTCGGCCAACGAGGTAGTCAACAGACAAAAATAAAATAGTGAAACTATATTTTTACTAAAGTACATGAATGAAGTGGAACGTTGTACATTCTTCTAAAATGAGACTGATTTTAAATTAGTATTTTTACTTGATGTTCAGATGTCCGCCGCAAGACCATCTACGAGTACCATCGCGTGTCTTTCAAGGACCATCTGATCACGAACAACACCGTCCTCAAGATGACAGCTTTGCCCACTTGCCTACAGTACGATACTTGCGACTCGTGTCTCAACCACAACACTGGCTTCAACGTGAGTTGGTCTTTATCCTAATTTATTTATATCCGTTCACATAAAGTTCATTATGCTATGTACAGTTTCGTTGCAAAAAATTTAAAATGTTGCGGTGTATATTGAGCCTTACGCTACCTGAAACTGCTTTCAAATGTTTTTTTATTTATTTTTATTAACTAAAGTATCTAAAGACATTTTGGTTCACACTTCACATACGAAATTGTATAAATCTCATGAATAATTTTGTTAGCTTGATGTAGGTGCCGCTGTCAGTACTTTAACGAGCAAATTGTACATGCTATGTGCGAAAGGGTAATTCGGCGGATAATATAGGTACTATATTTATCTACATATTTTCGTTTCAGTGCACATGGTGCCCGCAGATCCAAAAATGTTCGAGTGGAACCGACAGAAACAAGCAAGATTGGTTGTTGAGAAGTAAGTTAGACAACTAGACCATAACTTATTGCTTTATTGGTGTCAGTAATTCTTAGTGCAATCCTAGCCACATTGATTTTAACTTCCTTTCTTAATCTATTGTCTCAATGTGTATGTCCAAAATCTTAACATACTTTGTCATTCGAATTTATACTACTAGTGTTGTCAAAAATCATAGCAAAGGTAAAGCATAATTTGATCACGATGCTAGCTGTTTTGATATAATATGGGATAAAGCGTCAGCGGCCAATTCAAGTGCGTTGCCGGCCTTTTGGGGGTTAGAGGTTTGGAGATTTTAAGTTGGGGAGAAAATTGGCCTCCGCAGCCAAGGCAGGCGTTGTTCCACGCCAGTTTCCTATGAGGTCGTTGTATGACTCCTGTCGAGACCGCCTATTCGTGTCGAAGCATGGCTCGCTTACACTTATAGCGATGGTATTTGAATATCTTAATTTTAATATTATGTTTGAACAGAATGTGAGAAGACTACAATAGTGAACGCGACGGGTTGCGCGGCGACTCGCATCGACGCTCCCACCGACGCGAGCGGGGTGCCTGCGACCGGCAACACGGCGTACACTACCGACCAGCAGAGCGCCCGACATGACACCGTCGTCAATACACGTATGTTCCTTTCCATACATCTTCTGGTCTGTTCTCGTAGAAATTCATCATCTCTGAATTGAGACTAGGAAAATGAATCATCTCTGAATCAAGACAATTTCATATTCCATCGTTTAGGGATTCTCATAAATTATTTTTTTAATTAGTTAGCGTTTCGCAAAAGCTACATAATATTTATATTGTAATGGAGCTCCAGATACCAAACCTATTTCAAATTGCGTTTATTTTGACCAGAGATGAGACACTTTGTTAGGCAGTAGCGCTTGCGCTGACAGACAACAGTAACTCACCTTGTTTGAACAACAGAAGCGGACGCTCCGAAGTCGAATGCTGGACAAACAGGGCAGGCTGCGCAAGCTTCTCCCACGGTCGAAGCGCACTCGCCCCTAGGTGGCGCTGTCGCTGCCTTTATCTCCATCACACTGATCTGCGCGGCAGTCTCGTGGATATTCTATGCATTCAAGAACCCGCACACACGCAGCGGACAACTGCTAATTAAGGTACCTATAGTATTCGGAAATATCTTTCTACATATTTGATAGGCCGATGTTTGACCACTATATCGCCTGGTGGTGCCCGATGATGCGGCCTATGATGGAGCATGTCGACCCATAAGCAATCTATTCACGACGCCCAGGTTATACCCTGATATAATAAAATAATAACCCTATTATAATATTTACAATTACCATCGTAATCAGCCATGATAAGTGTACTACCGGTCTGCCATGCTGAATGATAGCACGCCAGGTATATGCTATGTCTATAAAAAGATTTACTTGCCATACAATTATCTATGCATCGCTTACTTTTTACGTTAATTTAAAATTGGGGCCAAACAGACGCCCACTATTTTTTTTGGGAAATAATAGTAGTTCCGGAAAACAAATTAATCTCCAGCGATCTGTGGCCGACTATAAAAATGGATCTTAAAATAACAAAACTAAACTTCCGAATAGAATACTGAACCTCTGACAAAATTACCAAGTTTTAAGTTAGGTTAGACAAAGCATAGTTTTCAGTAGAACATAATTTATGCTGGTAGAAAAAGATTATAGCAATAATTAGTCATGTTTATTTTTCGAAGATGTCAGTATCGCATTCGGTCGTTTTGTCTTTTTTATTCTGATAAAAGTAGTCGAAACGTTAGTGTTTTAGGCAGTAGATTTAATATTTTGTGGAAGGGCAATTCTTCTTTTTTTGTCGGAGCTTTTATTACTACCCATTTTTCACTAATACCTTTTATCCTTGGCGATTTAGCTAACTTTTCTGATTTTAAATACTTAAAAATATGGAAAACAACAGAAATAAAAGAATAACCAAACAAAACATTAAGAATGTGTTAGTCGTCAGTTTGTAATAAAATGACGTCTGATATGGGAGATTAAAATAATACACATTATAAGTATAAAAATTATACCATAAATAAGTTGAGATATGAGGGTAAGAAGAGTAAATAAATAAATAAATTATTAACTTTCTCAGTACCGGCCGTCGCAATGGAACTGGCGTCGCGGTGAGGCGCGCTACACCGCCGCCACTATTCACATGTAAACGTCACGCACACGCCACGTGCTAACTGGCACCCACAGGTTTGTTGGCCATACGACACCATCAACATACCACGTGTACTTATATACTATCTATATACTTCGATGTTAAGTGTACACGAATCGTAGTATAACTAAAATCGTACCTAAACAATTGAACTGGATTCCGTTTTGCTTAAAGGTAAGTAAGTGTATGCGTTATTTCTTAAAGAATATAATTTTAACAGAAGTTTTCTATAATTAGATAAAGTAGAAAATATATCTTTATTTATTTTAGTTACGTCAAATAATATGTATGTATATTACAAGATGTGTTGTTGTAAACTTATTTTGGAAAGTTAATATAGCAAAACTATTACTTATGTAGCAAAAAAATTACAGTCTTACTAATAAACTTATGTTACTCTCATTTTCTAACACTTAAACTGATACTCATTAATTGAATTAAACAGGGAGTGAATAATCGTCTACACAAGACATTATCAATAAACAATAGATAAACTTCGAGTTTATTCGTAATGTTACTGATCAATTTCAACATCTTCTCTTGAAATGCGCGTAAAAAATTTAAAATTAGAAACGTTAATTCTTATGTTTTAAAAATGTGTTCACATAATTTCCTCGCAGCTTGGTCGGTCCTATCTTCTGGTATATTGTGTCGTTTTCTGAGTACATGTACAATATTTTGTTGTTTACTAAAAGAAAAACTGCTACACCTCTTAAACGATAAATATTTATTAGTAAGGCTGTAAATATATATATTTATAATATTTTATCTAAAAATATCAACTTATTTGATTAGTAACTATTATGTGGTTAGAGTTTCTTTGTATAGGAAAATGTTATGTCTAGTAGAGAACCGTCACTTGTTGATGAAGTTTTTATAATAATTTAAAACTTATCCTGTGTAATATGGCTCCGGCAGTTATATGTATGTGTGACATTATGTGCATTCTTATTAAGTAAATCAATGAATTTCATGTACACAAAATCTCGAAATATCACTTCATACTTTAGAACAGTCACAGGGTCGATTTACAATGTCATTATATTTAGATATATATGCATATACATTTGTTAAAAATTATTATCAATACATATATTATTGTATACATGCATTTATTGAGGCAGCCTATAAATATCAATTAGAAATACTGAAATACGTATCATTTTACACATTATTAGATCTTTTATAAAATTGTATACACTAAGAAAAATCTATGTCCTGGTGTTCTGCAGTGTTGACTGTTAACTGGCGAGTATATTATTAATAGAAAACCTAAAATCACACCTAACAGCCGTTAATGGTATGATAAGCTGTCTATCCTTAGATTTACATCCTAAAGATAAAATGGTGACATTGTCAAACTTCTACCTCCAGTATTGAAAAAGGCCGTAACATAAAGAACTTACCTGCAAAATTGGACATATTTTTATGCTAATGCTAAAATATTTCGTCTCACGTTGTACCTAAGCTGGGAGAAGTAATTTAGTTCCACAGTTTTGTACACAATCAAAATTATTATCAAAATTATAGCTTTCCATTAGATCTAAAATGAAATTGTTTTAAGCCCATGTGGATTGAAGCGTTTTTGCTACTTATGTCCAACTGACTATAATACTGTATTTATTTGTTCTGACATCGCCAGCAACAAGTCAACACTGGGAAATGACTTTAATGACGGTGGTGTAAAACTGAATCTCCATTCTGAACTTCCCAATCATGTTAGATATATTTATTGTTTATTCCGTAACCTGATTTATTTAATATATTGTTCTTGCTTATTTAGATTTACCAATATAGTGAAATAGGAATCGGAAAAGAAAAAAGGATTTATGTATTTGTATAGAGCCTACATTCTGATGGTTTCAGTTAGCATATGTTACACCGTGATGATGTTAATTGCAAAAATAACTTATAGAACAAATATAATAAAGTAATTAATTTAATGAACAAGGTTTGCTTGCAGTGGCTAAAATAGACTATTTAGTCTACCTGTACAAGTTGAAGTTTATTTTGATCTTTTGACCGGCCGTGTAGTTACTGATATAAATCAAAACTTCTTAGATAATACTAATCCATAATTTATCATAATTAAACTAAGTAACTCCTTTGTTCTATAAGTTAATTTTAACATAACACAATTCGTTTATATGAATCTATGTGCCTTTAAACAGAGTTCCGTAAGTATCGAAGGATCCGTCCTGAGTTAGTTTTAGTGTGATCAGATTGTTATTGTGACAAATCGTAGAAATGTGCACTGTATGATTTCGCAAAGTGCTGACGCTTACATATTACCTCCCGGTGCACGTAGTACATCGCCTGCACAGAGTTTAATTTGTATCCCTACTTAAATCTTAATTAAGACAATTAAAAATACATTTAAACAATTGGTGTCTTTATTATGAACTTTCTACGATTTGTAACAACGGTTGTCTACGTTCTACCGTACCGTGCGGCAGCAGAATGTGTAAGCCTGCCGAGCTCATAATCGCAACAATTGTCAATTCTTTAAAATAATATGTACTGTCTTGTCGTTTTCTTTTTTTTTTTGTATACTTCTACTCGTATTTTAAGTCGCGGTTTCTACGGGCACACGTACGTGTTCACTGTCGAGATTATAAGTCAGAGGTGTTTGGTTAAATGAAGCATCAACTTAATTTAGTAAATGTATATTGATTTGATTTTTTGTAAAATAAATCTAGCCAACGGCTTTTTTACTGATTAGGCTTAGTAATTAATAAAAATGCTGTTTTGCGATTGCAGTTCGTTTTTACCGAACACCTTTTGCTTAGCAGTTACATACATATCAAGTAGATTACTTTGGCCTGCAAGATGTTGACGCGACTCTAGATAAATGTACAAAACTTAAGAATCTCTTATCCACTTTGCAATGTCATTTTATTAGAAAATTTATTGTATTATTGTGTGAGGATTCGTAATGGTGCTTTTTCTCCTGATTTTGTAAACTCCTGTCTTAGGTAATGCGCATGCGCCTCATAAGAAATATAATTGATTTGCCCATTAATTTAGTGCTAATTTTAATAAAGTAGGGATGATGACAGAATATGAAAAGTAAACATTAGCTCGAACCATCAGTCAGTTAAGGATTAAAGTGTTAAACGCATATAATTTTATTAAACCTTATGAAAATTAATCTCTTGTTAGTATCGATATCTGAGACACAATAGAAAACACATTGTTCACACACGTTCAGTATACATTTTAATCAATAAATCGTCCAAAAGTTTAAAATGTCTTCGTCATCATCCATCTTTAGTTACTCTTCATACGTTTATCAAAATAAATACTGAGAAAAAGTTCCAGAAAATCTCATTAACCTGTTATATAACATTATTGATATTTTATCCCAAAATCAAGAATTATATTTTTATATTGTATCTTTGCTTTATTGGCGATTTACTTAATTTTAGTTTTGTTATTCGGCTTCTAAGTTTAAATTGCAAATTAATTAAAATTGTGTTCTGTTATTTTGTGAGATTTGGATTCTTATACAGAGTATTATATTATGTACATTTACTTTTATATGTCGGGTGAAGGGTAAAAGTATAAATAACATTTTTATAAAGGCAACGGACACCACGCGTAATTTTTGTAGTTTTACACATTTATATTATAATTAAAAAATGTAACATTTATTGCCATTAAATGGCCTTAGTGTAAGGCAATGTGGTCTTTAATAATTGTATTGAAACATTTCTCTTACGGAACTCGTCGCGTACGAAGTGCATGGCGACATCGATTTGAAGCCGTACGTCGTTTGGTGTTATTAGTGTTATAAAATAGTGATATTATTATGTAAAATATATTAACGTATGTTACTCTACTTTGGGATGTTTTTTTTACTCACTTCATTTTTTTTTTTCGTAAATTCTGTAGGTACACCAAAGAACTTGAATCGCGTTCGATAAGTCTGTAGAGTGTCGCTCAATCATCAATCGATTAGATGTTAATGTTAACATGGAATTATTGTAAATTATAATTTTAAGATACTATTCCGACGTTTTCTTTGCATTAAGGGACCATTATTACAGTCTACAATAAATCCTGCCGTTGGAAGAACAAGATGTTTTATTCAAGAACTTACCCTTTTATTTATTTCCCTCTAAATCTGATTATATAAAGTGGTGTTTTTAAACCAGTAAATATGAGAAGGTTCCGAGTTCGATTCTCAGAGCAGACAAAAATTTTATTTTAAATTGTCAATTCAAGCGCTTGCCTTGGTTCTACTGGTTAATAAAAGTGTAAACAGACATTTTAGAGTATGGTACGGTAAGGTAAAACTAATTTTGTTTTTCTTCATAAGATAGTACAAAAATGTCTCAAAAAACGAAAAATCTATAATATCTTTTTTAGACATCATAAGCTTTTGACAAAGACATTTAAAAATACAGTTAAACTGACCTCCTGTTTAACCTTAACATTTTGAATACACCGATATGAGACAATAGAAAGTACATTGTGTCTCATGTGGATCCACGTCTTAGACACACGAAAGGTTAACACGTTCACTGCCACCACAATTTTTTTGAAGTTCATAGCGATGCCACCCTATAAAGCCACGTGGACACGCCAGGCGTGTCGGCGGCACTGCATCTTGTTAAACATGGACACGCTAGGCGTGTCCAGTGGCACCTCGATGGAGTTAAATTCTAAATCTGTTTTTTTTCGGTTTAGCGATGAGTATTAGTTAGTTTGTCAATCGCTGAGCAAGAATACAGGTGATTTGAAATACGGTAGTGAGAATTTACCTGGAATTATGGCTGAAAATAGAAGTTTAGGTAAGTAATTTTCGTAATTTTGTAAGAGATCATAAACATTTTGTGGTTGTTTTGAAATATTTCATAATATTAACTTAGATAAGTCAATTATTACAAGTTTACGGAACGATACCTATTTTAGTTGAAGATAGCATACTTATTTAACAACAATAACAAAATGTTTCATAAAATACTTATGTTTGCCATAATTTTCTCCCCTATACTTTTATTTCATTAAATATGAATTGCCAAAAACTACAAAAAAATGGGGGTAAGGGAGGCCGAAACCGAAATACATGCAGCCGGCTGCATGGCTGCGAGTAACAGAATAAATGAAAATAGCAAATAAATATTATGAGCGGGGACGATTATGGAAAACAGTATTAATACAAATGATGTTTTGGCAAACAAAACATTACTCTCCTAAATGGTAATTTATTTAATAAAACGATTTTTAAACGGCTTAACTCGCGTATATTCCTTTCGTTTCAGTGTTCGCGGTCGCAAGCAGACCACGATCCCTGAAAAAATTTCGCAACGATTTTTATGTCTAGTGCTCGCGCAAACCTAAGACATTATTATGGTAATTTATATACTTAATCGTAATACCTAGTATATAATATTTGTTTTACTGCAGATAATTATCTTCATATTTTATTGATTTTTGTTCAAAGGTTGACAACTCCTTAAAATGGACACGCCTGGCGGGTTCTCGGCATTACATAATCACTTTAAAAAAATATATATTTTTTAAGAGATTTTTCTGGGGGCCACCTCAAAAATCATTAGGTTATTGCTAGCGAATTATGTACTGAGAATTCCAAAAGGCAACTTTGGCTAATTTTCGAAATATCACTGAAACATTTAGGACACGCCTGGCGTGTTCGAGGCGTAGTTATAGAAATTCGTAAGAACACGCTTGGCGTGTCGGCGGCATTGAACGTGTTAATTGAAGACTTATTACAATTATTGCATCAGCCACAGAACATATAAAGTAGAAAGGAAATAGTTCCTTGTTTGTATCAGAACGCGTGTCGCCGTTTGCCCCCCACTTTTTGACTTTACTACAAGCAAGAGACCAATACTTGCGCAAATAATGCACACAAATAAACAACACGCACTTGATCGAAAGGTTTGCTATTGGTCGTCACACTGACGCAATCACTTCGTTTGACATACACGAATGCACGCCTTAAAACTCACGTATGCTAGGGGGACCGAAAGGTTGATCATTGATATCGATAAAGTATTATCATCTAGCTTCCTACTTTACAAGTATTGCTATGTGAACTTCTGTAATCACGTATATATGCGAATATAGAAACAAATAAAAGTACATAAATGTGTTTTAACGAATTTCCATATATTTATTTAGGATTTTATAAAATTACATTTTTAAATAATACTTCAAAAAAGAACAAAAAATATATACCTAATACTGGGTGCCGATCGACAAGACGCCAATCAAAATTTTGCCCGGAATATTTGCAATGCACTTTTGCAGATTCATTACAAGCATTTTCGTTTAAAAATTACGATTTTGACATACCGATGAGTGTCCAAGACGAAATTTTCTATGTGCAGTTCATTAGAAACGGCTAACGGCCGGAGATTATGGCAAGATCCTAAAGTGTGTATCACAATTACATAAGCATTAGACCTATGTATAAGCTACTACACTATAAAATAACGTGGTGTGGAAATTATTTTTTTCCCAAAATACTCATAAAAATGTACTTTGCGGTGTTCTAGCGCCAAAACTACTTGTATTGACATATAAGCTACCGAGCCATAAATTGTAGCAAATTGTTCGTAGATTCATTTTGTAGGTTAACATTTGTCTCGTAAAATGCATAGGAAAAGAGATATTGTAAAAAAAACAGGTATTGGCCGCTATTTTTCTAAGATGGCGGACAAGCGGCGCACTTACAAAGGTGCCAAATGGAAATCGAAAAGAGCACATCAAAATCTATAAAATTTCGGGTTTTTTAAAACTCCCGGAAATCTTTTCAGGTGAACCCCATATTTCCTACCTAATGATCGGGCTACCAGTTGAAAGAAAAAAAATATTGTCCCTGAAATAAAACATATGTATTAAATAGCATACGCTTGCTCTCTTTCAAACTGTACCTTTTTTGAATGAAACGAAATCTTACGGTTATCTACTTTTCTATAACAGCTTTAGTAAGGGCTGTCACATGGCTCGCACTAGGATATAATCCAACCTGATGATGACTTAGGTTATTGAATAAATCAGTCCCAACGAAGCTGCGCATAATCTTTGCTGCGCATATTCTTGTTGATATTCCGAAGGTTTTCGGTGTACCTTTTTATAACTTCTTCGGATGTTTTGCAGATTAGTAGCACTTCTTTCGAAGGGTATAAGAGTCCGCCTTTATCTTTTGCTACTATGAATTTATAGTCGGAATTTATATCACTTGATAATAGTGCTCCTACACAAAAATCACAATCAATTTTTTTACTTAAAATGTGTCCAATGTATCCCGCAATGTAACTAATAATTTGTTGACTAAAATCGGAAATTATTTTGGAAAAATACATTTATTTCTTCTTCATCACTATTTTCGGAAGCCATATCAATAGTCTTCTATTATTCCATTATTCGTTGTTCTGTTGATACGTTCTATAGGCGATGATGCGCAATTCAGGATAGAAATGTATTCCAGAGCCAAGCAATTTCCACTTTCGAGAGCCTTTATTTCGATATGCACCAATAGTTTCTTATATGCTGCCTGAAACTGTCGCGCCGTAGGGTTGTTATGAGCTCCACCATGGGACCTGTAATGGCCAAAAAACATCTCGAGGTTGTCTTGGCTAATTTTATACGTATTAAATGTTTATAAATATGTTTTACTGCTTCGGCCCAACCAAAAAACCCAATAAAGATTGTTTTTCGCGGGCATTGTGTTAACAGTTTGTCGTCTAGACATTATAATCGCGATAGGCTGTGTCAGGATTCTTAATCCTAAAAGCTCCATTTGAATTAATTTCCGTAAGCGATTTCTTAAATTTAAATTGAAAAGAGCTCCGAGAATTGATATGTCAAACAGATTATTAATTATTCTCAAAAATTTTGATGTTGCTGCGTTATTTTTAATTGCAGGTAATTTTAGTTCATTGCAACAAAAGTCTAAGTATCTGCTTAACCTTCATTTTTTTATTTTGAAAATTAATGTGACGGTAGCGTAACTTGTTGGCTAAATGAAAATTTTCTCTTTCTTGAAGCTTATTTAGTTTTTCCAAAAATTTCCATTGTATTTTATTGCCGTCTGGATCTGTAAAAGTTTTGTAGTTTTGAATAGCGTTCCACACCAATTTGATTATATGAGATGGATCCAAAATAACCAAAATTGGTTCTTTAGTTACAGAATGGTTGAAACTGATTCTTCGATCTTCTATAGAACAACCCAAACATTTTACCATTGCCATATTTGCAATATACCAGTTTCTTGAAGTAGCTCCAAACATTGTAACGCCGACGTCCTGTCTAACCATCTACAAAGAAATAACCAACGGGAAGTTTGAAGTTACAGTTTACACTTGTCACTAAAAATACTAGAGCCTATTTTGCTTCTAATAGATGATCTCTCACGCCAGTACCGATATCTACGTGCCCCACTAACTTTTCTCCGTCATATTCTATACGCCGGGCGCGTATCGCGATTTCGTCGATAGTTAACCCCGCAAATCGCAATTGTAGTGTAATTTGTACTTGAACATTTTTGTTTTAACGCTTCCAGGGATTCCTTAGTGAAACCTGGATCTCCTCCAATATTTTCGTACCACTTTCTAAGTGTACGCCTTTCTGGCAGACAAGTATCGAAAGTTTTACGTATGGAATCATAGGCCTTCGGTGAATAATAATGTAGCGTCAACGCAAAGGTACGAGTGCTGGGCTATATTTTTGTTTGCATTTTCATTCAGAATTTTTTGTTTCATCAGGATTGAAGGAAATTAGCTTCGTAGTTGTCGGTGTCGAAGCTGCATTCACCGAGCTAGATGGTATTTGTGATGTCGATTGCAAAATTCGTGCCAGCAAAGTTTCCATGTTACTTAACAGTCTTGAGCCGGATGTCTCCTTGGTTGGGATGGCGTTGCTGTCTTCGGATGGTCTTCCATCGTATCCCACTTCTGATAAAGGCACGAGGCCATCTTTATCGGTGGAACCATGACGGCGTGGGAATTTCAAAGAATTAAACGCTAATCCTTGTTAAGCTATTTATAATTCACAAGTTACAATTACAGAAATTTAATAATCAACGCAATTTATAAAAGATAATAATTTGGATTTAAAGACAGGCGATCCGTCAGTGTGACCCGTCAACTCGCCTCCTTGTTCGAATTAAGACAGACAGACGATCAAGATGGCCGACGCTCCACACAAGACGTTCCGCCAGAACGAGATAGATAACTATCCCCGCTCTTGTCTTCAATCCATCAGTTCCCCAGGAATCCGGTAGAGGGCGATGTATAATTTCCGACATACCCAAAAGAACAATTGAAGCACTAATGTCGGAATACTGAAACGCTACACAATTGTAAGTCTAAATTTTAATTATATATTTATTTAAAAATGCTCTCAAGTTATGAAATACTTCTTCAAAAACAAAAAAAATGCTTCCTCCGGATGCGTGCCCTTTTTTGCCTGCCTTCTGTATCAAGCCCTTGTTCCACCTGCCTAACGCCAGCTTTCTAAGGTACTGATCGAGGCTATTAGGGATTCACCCATTGGCCGATACGACTATCAGCACAATGATAGCCGAATCCACACAACCTCGTGAGCTAAGTCTCGATATTTTATTGGTTTACTTTTTTCAGCTTTCATGAGGTTCTCGACATAGGGGATAGGGACATCGATTTATCATCGCGAGGCATGTTAGTTTATTACCACTATATCAGCCTCATTGTCTAATATAGTCTTGTCAGTGATGATATACTGGTCCCAGTACAATGTGATTTGGCCATTTTCCAGAACTGGGTCGGGCACATATTTGTAGTACGGTACGGTACCTTAGATTTAACAATGCAAAGCAAGTTGCTGATGGATAATCGAGACCACGTGACTATGAGAGACAGACCTCTGAGTTTGTTTCGGCATTTCTTCTCAGAGTAGTCAGTTAGGAAATGTCGACCTTATCGTTCGCTTGATAAAATTGACGTGTAAAAGTGCTGCCTTGTGGCCTATTTGCAGAAATAAATTCACTTGTTTCACTATGCCATTGCAGGGCAGTGGTCCGACTGTTCTGTCCAACTAGTTAGACCACGGGTCTTTAACTTCGTACTGACTTTTATAACGCCAGATAATTATTATATTGAACCTCTTTGCAGATAATTAATATATAACAAAATGGAAGTCGGGTAAGAAATTATTAAAATTTTATTTTTTACTTTGCAATTCAATCAAAACGAATACGCACCCAAAGGCGTAAGATCCAATCTATATTAGGTATATTGAATTTAAGTTTATCGAATGCATGACCTACATAAATATCGCCTGAAATCAGTTGTAACTGAATTTGTTGTGCCTACAACAACCAACCCATCGAGACGCTGATGACGTAAGAATCACTTATTTCTTTGAAGCAAAGATAAATCAAGTGTGGGACGTCACAAAACGTATATAGCCTTTTATTTATAGCATGTTGAGAGCCATCATTATCAATTTGGACCTTGCGTCTCTTGTGTATGTTTTCATTTGATTGAATCGTAATATTTTGTAATACATTTAGGAGACGTAACATTGTAACATTTTTTGTATTAAGGCGCCGCGCGCCGGCTTTACTTTGCATGCGAGGTTTCTAAATGTTATTAGTTCTATGCCTGCTTAACTGCCTCATTGGCCGAGTGGTCGCAAGTGCGACTGCCGGGCAAGGGGTCTCGGGTTCGATTCCCGGGTCGGGCAAAGTATTACTGGGTTCTTAAAAATTCTCAGTAGTAGCACGGAGTCTGGAATTGTGCCCGGTATATGGCAATAGGCTCACCCCCTATTACATGGGACTTATAACATAAATAGTGAAAAGTGGGTGTTACATTATACAGTGGCATAATGTGCACCTCTGCCTACCCCTTCGGGGATAAGAGGCGTGATGTTATGTTATGTTCTGTTCTATGCCGGCTAAATACGCTTACAAGCTGAGAATATTCATTAAAATTTAATTTAATCCAATAACGCTCTATATACTGGATGTGGATGATTTTGTAAGTTTTCAACACCACAATCTTCTTTTATGTAATCCCAGCCTTCTACAATTTTATCACTCGGTAATAGCGGCAAAACTGAGCGTAAGGAAATAGTCCTTCTGATTCTTTTTGATTTAGTTTTTGAGATATCTAATTGTTTTGTTTTTCTCCAAATACATCGTGGCTAATGATAGCAGCCTATAATTTAATTGTCGGACAAAATTCTTCTATGCTATTTAGAATAGACATTTCAAAGTCACAGTGTAAGATTTTTGGATCCCAATTTAACCGTGATCGTAACATTTCGAATAACGCAAAATAAGTATATTGCTTTTTGTCACTTAGAAAAGCAAAAACCAAGAGTCATTTGTGTTTTCTGTATCGCCAATTTTGTAAATAATTGTACGAAAGGTCTTTTTAAGGGGGGAAAATCATCGAATGGCTGCTCCCGCCTAGGTGAAGCAGGAGGGAGTGTCAGACTCTTCCTGACTAAAAGCCACCCCGTTCCTTCTCCTGCACGTCAAGCCGGAGCCCCGGTAACCCGTTTGGTTCTCCGCGACTCCGAATCGGCATCAGCCCTGTTGGGCCCCATCTGTGGTGGTCTGATGGCTCTTTGATGCGCGCGCGGAACGCGACGCACCGTACGCTCGGGTCTGTTTCTGGTCGGACGGGGAGCCACCCATGTTCGCCGTCCGCAGACACGCGCTTACGGTGGTCGGAGATCGTCACGATCCCCGACGCCCAGTGTGTCCTTCGCGATGGCTGGGTTGCGAGGAGGCAGCGCTTCGCTGCTTTACGCGTCCCGCCTCCTCCTTAGCTAGCATAACTGCTTCGCAAAAGGAGGAGACGGCATCCCAGTCCCCCTCACTCCACGACATGACCAGCACTAGGCCCGGACGCGAGAGGTCGCCATCGCCGATCACTTCCCTGAGAGCACGGCGGTGCTCAACCCACGCAGGGCATTCCCCCACTGTGTGTTCCACCGTGTCCTCAGGACGGTCCTCGCAGTGTACGAAAGGTCTGGAACAACATTTAAAAAAGGTTCCGTCCGCAAAATATTCATTTAACTTTTTCATTAACTTTCTTGCTATTAATGATTATACGCGTTACATCATAGTAATAATCAGTGAAAAAAATTCTTTGACTTTAAGAGGTACTTCAATTTTTTGTACCTCTATATTGGTAAATGCCGTTTTTATAGCATCCAGTGATTTGTTCCTGGCATATAGACTGTATTTTAAATTTGAATAGGATGAAAAGTTAGAGATGGTATCAAATGTGGATTTTTTATATTTTATTAGACTATCGTTGTAGAGTTTAGGAAGAGGTTCTCGGAAATTTTACTTTTTTGTTAAATTGTCTATAGATAGTATTATTTCATTTTTAACTTCGTTTCTTATACAATTATTGGAATGTAGCGTCGTGTTATTTAAATAACTCTTCCATTACTTATTATAAACCGATCAATTGGGTACTTGCCGACTAGTCAAATTCAATACTTTTTTCGAATTGTCAATTAAAAACGTCAGTTTTCTATAAATTTTGTACGATATTGTGTATTGCGAAGATGTTTTTTAAATTAATTGGTCCACGGAACTCTCAAGAGGTGGTATGGTCCAACACTATTATTAACGTTGGACAACTGTCCCTTGTAAAGACCCGTGGTCCAACTAGTTGGACAGAACATTTGGATAACTGCCCCGCAATGGATTATGCTTATGCTAATATTCACTGTTAGCCAAACGACCACAACTACAAATAATAATGGCCTATGACATATTCGACATACATATGTCAATCATCCCATCTTTAAAATATATTTCCGGTAGTTATTCGTAAGTAAATCCATACAAATCCTTCAGTTTCTTCAAAGAGATTCAGTAAACTCTCTACCAGCAAGGAAATGTACACTGAAGGAAGAATCGTCTGTAAAGCTCCTTGCTATGCAATATCTATTTGCGATCATTGACGCTCAGTAACACAGGTTTGCGCCAGTTCGCTTTTGACAAGAATAGTGGAGTGAATCCATTGCCCACAGCGGCTACTTCTCAACTCGCTGCATACCCTCGTTTACGTTCAGGAAATGTTTTATTATTATTAGCTTTTGTTTATACGAAACACAGGTGTGTACTTTTTATTAATGATATTTTCGTAGTTAGTATTTTTTCTATTAAATACTCTTTCACATAACTTTACATTCATACTTTTTTTTCTTCTCGAAAATTCCACATGGTTTACCGAGAAATAAAAAAAATATGAACCAAGTGTGCCAGTTGGCTACTGTTCGTAATGTGCTTATCAGTCCATTGTTTAAACGAATCGTGTGCAGGTGCTGAAAGACAAAAAAATCTACAATTTCAAGTCAATCTCGCAAATGTAACGCTCTTCAATGGACCTGCTGTTAATAGTTCTCCTAGCCATCATCACAGATGCAAAAATGATCTGTAAAAAAACAAAAGCTCCATTGGAACTGGGTGAATGGAGGTACGACCTTAAACACATGGACTCCGCCGTTGTCGAAAACCCGCCAGTGTCAATAAACGAAGGCCAAATGTACGTGTATGAAAATTACTTTCCTAATTACACGATCAAATATATCCACGTGGACAACTTGGCAATTCGATCATGTGGAGCTAGTGCAGCAATGAGGACCGGTGGTATCGGCAGCTCCTATGTGCTTATAGTGCTGCACGCTCACATCAACGAAGAGATAAGGTCTGTAGTCGACATCTGGGGAGAACGAAAAAAAGTGATCACGGAAGAGTTGCCGAGGACCCCTCTCAAACCTGATGAAATGACATCTCTTAAATCATTATATTTATTTAAGCATTTACGAGCAGTTAATCACAACAGTGCTTATTAATATTCTAATTTTTTATACTAGAAACTGTAGATTTTATTTATATTTTAATACACTCTTTCTAATAATTGTTTCTTTTATTGATCCTTGTGGTTGCGGTTTCGTGGCGACATTTCCGAGTAAGTAGCTACATAATATATTCCTAAACTTTTTTTAATCTGTCTTATTATATAATAATAATAATTTAAAGGTACTACTTAGATATCGATCTAATACATCACTCACAGTTGTAATTTTAGTCATCTAAATTATTGTATATGTAGGTGAAAATTCTAAACGACCGACTCATTCGATGAGAATTATACGTTTTTTAATTTCTTACATGGTCAGCAACGTACTTACTTGCGACAGTTTTGGTGATTGCTTACCTACCATAAGGCATCTGGCATGCACCTGGTGATCTGATACAGAACCAAGTTATTGACATAAGTTGCCAAAAATTTGCATGTTGAAGTATCAGTGAGACGGATATATTTTGTCAAAAAACGTGTGACCGTAGTGGTAGACGCGTTCTTGAATAGCAAATGCACCCAGGCAAGAATTGTAGTGCACCTTCGTGTTAGATGGTGAATATAATTAACGAAATATCAATAAGTACCACTAAAGTATACATTGAATTGTAGGTACCTTCGAGGAAGATATTTAACCAAGTTTTCGAAATAGATATCAGTTTCGTGGTGAATATAAAGCTCTGGTGCTAAAATACACCTACAATTATCAATTAGTGCTATTGTGTTATTTTCTAGGTTTTGTGCTACTTATTATAATATTATTTATTTAATTCAGGCAGGTAGTTAAAACAACTGATACATGCCTTTATCGTATTTTTTGTTGGTAGTCAATTCAATATCATGTTTCTTTCAAGCCAATTCAACATTGGCGTATTAATTGCTGCAGGTATTCTCAATAGACAGTAATATTTACCCGATCCAAGAATCCGCAGCACCAATGGAATAGTCAAATGAAAACAAGTATTTAATAAACGTAATTATACTTTATTTCATAAAGATACAATACAGACGTACATTTGTCAACTTACGAATAACCTCATTGTACAATACCATGAATATATATATAAACCTTGTACATGTATATCTACAAACCAATTTTGACATTAGTAAAATTTTGACTAGAAGTGATAATTTTGAATAATATCCAATAACAATAATAATACATTTTTCGAAAAATAACACATCTTTATAGACGTAAACCAATAATATAAATATACCAACATATCACTTGTAATACATAAGTCGTACATATACTTGTGCCAATTAACTCCGTGATTACTTTAAAGTCGTTTATAATTAATATATAATGTTTATCTTAATCACTATATTTATTATGCATTCTAATAATAACACTAACAAGACAGTTGTGATGTCAGTTTGTGTGATCGTATGTTTTATGTCCTACAGAATAAACATAATATTTATGCGATAAACAAGTCGGTTACATGTTCTTAATAATTAAATAAAGCTACGTATTTATGCAAACATACTTTGTATAGAATATTGAAGATATTTAAAAAAAATACGATTAATTGCATTACATGACGTGTATATGAAAAGGTTACAATAATTGGATTACAAGTTTAGATATATTGCTACTACAAAACTAGTTATATTTATTCAATACAAGAATAAAATATACACAGATTTTAACTAATGCAATACCTAAGAGGAAAGTGTTTGAAAGTATTCTCCAGAGCTCCTATTATCCCGGACAGAAATATATTTAGTAGATTGGCAAAATTACGGATAGATAGATGTAGATACTAATATACATTTTAAAAACTTTGGCGAATATTTCTTAATTCCTCAAGTAACCTTAGTTCGATAAAACTTACATAAGGGTAAACCTATAGCTGTCCGCTTCGGTAAATACTTCGCCTTTTCGTGAACTTTTGGTACATTACTCAACATAGCTTTTCATTTAATAAGTTTATGTGGTTACCTTACCTTCACGGAAGTTCCCGTGAAACTTTCACTTATCGTCAAATTTTAGGATTTAGATCAAGTGCCATAAAAATAAAACAGGTTAACAAAAGGACTAGAGGCATTTCCACTGAAGAGTATCTAGAATTAATTTAATCAACGAATTCACTAACTTCGCAAATGTGCTGATATTGATTACAATGAGAGTGAACTATTTCATGTTCTACATTTGTATAAATGTGAATGGTTCACGAAAAGGCGCAAGTATTGTTAAAACTACGCTTGTTTGAATGTACGCCCACCAGGATGCAAACAGGTAATTAATATTTAACTGCAATATTCAAGTTACTTTTGAACGTTTTACCTGACAATAAACACAATTTTTAGTAATGCAATAAATTAAATAAATTATTAATTTGTTGAAGTGTTTGCACACTTTTCAAATATAACTATTTGGTAAGGCATACCCTGGTTTGGTCACAGTCAACAAGAGCGCTATTTGCAGTACTATTCCTTATTCGATGTCCTACGGTTAGGACATGAATTTCTACAAAGATGGTAACTGTATCACCGCATCTTAGGCCTATACCCTTAGAATCCTAGTTATATGGGTACGTACCGGTACGTGCATAATCATGAATATTCTTCTTTCATATAATACTGCTGGCATGTCTATTATGGGCATTGGTAAAATATATATATACGTAGATATGATTGTTGGTATGATGCTTCTATTACGAAAATAGATTTTTCCAGCAATTTCAACTCTTTACCGACTACCTCAACGAATAAGACATTTAATTGGAATATTTGGAAAAAGACGTATCAACAAAATAACATAGGTTTTATAAATGTGAATGTGATCAATCAGTGTTAATGTATTTACTTCAACAATAATTGTAATAATGGCTGTCCACGAACCCGAGAGCCAAGAAATGGCAAAGAATGCTCAAGATCGAGCCAAGCATGAAAGAAATCAGTAATGACGATGGCATTCAGCCAACATAACACTACGAAGAAGAAAACACTACTCTACTTTGTTTGATTTTACTTAAAAATGCTGCCGCAGTGCTCATCATGAGACAAATATATTTACATATTTCTTAAAACTAACGTATGCTATGATTATTACTATAAAATCGTGAATCTAAACGTTTTACCTTTTCTAATAATAAGGACAAACGGAATAAGTTACAATTGAAATTTCTGAATTTTTTGGACTGAAAAATATATAATATGGTGGTTTAGTGAACTCGAAATATACAATTTGGAATTTTGATCTTTATCCAGATAGAAACCGACTAAATCATATATATGCAAGGTTTGACATATCGATACACGAATCGGATATTTAGAATTTACTATTCCTATGAAAACTATGAACAACAATATAAAGAAAACTAATCTGAAAAAGGAAACCATTGTTTACGCAGGTCTACTATGTATGAACGTTATCTAAACCTATTTGCAACATCATGTTTTGACATTGAATCTATGTATACGAGTTTTATCTCTGCCGGTACGTGAAAGAGACACGCAAACAATCTTAACCTATGCCATTATCGCTATCGAGTATACAAATCCACTTCTATATAATATTAGAATTATATATATTGGAACTATAGCTATAAACTCGATATTCATTTACGGTGTATATTGTTTTATATAAATTCGATAACTAATTCGGACACTTTCTAACAGTTTATAAAATCTCAAAACTTTTTGAAGAATTTTTTTTTTTTACCTACATTTTAGGTACGGCAGCACACAACTGACCTCTGTCCAATTCCTACTATTTATTGGTTGATATTACGCCAAACACTCCGTAAATGAATAGCAGTCGAACTAAATGATAATAAATTGATAACTAAAGTCATTATTTGCTTAAACACTAATTGTTACGTAGGTGCTAACTCTCCAATCGAAGTTCTACACAAAAGGATCGCTCATGTCGATTCCTTATTTGGGTACCATTATGATGTTATTAATGGGGTTGTTATAGAACAACTTTTACTTATAATGTTACATAGTTTAAATTGAAGGGAAACGAAGGAAACTAGAGAAGCAATCGACGGAAAAATGAGTATCGCTGTTAAGAGTCACTCTATTACCTACTCTATACTTAACAAAATATTTTCGCAACATTTGATGGTTGTCGCAGACTACAAACTTGAATCGATCAGTGTAAGAAAAAGTAAAAGATTAGATATTAGTATGGGATAGCAACACATATTAGTCGATCGATCAGTCTGAAATCTGCGGGGTCACTGAAGTTAAAAGTACTTCTGACTTGCGTCAATAGGTAAATCATTACATCTCGCGGCTCCAACAACACAAAACAATAGGTATTTTGTACCAATGAAATTCACAGTAAATACGTGACTACTTAGGTACACTCCCACGCGATATATACCGTAGCTTTCTAAACAACAATATCACATTTCGCATTTGATAACGATGCTAAACTTAGCGTGTCGTTGTACATATTATCGACTTTTCATTGACGCAGATTTCTGATAACGCGATAATGTTTCTATGAATGAGTACCTACTTATAATAACGAGGTAAGCGGCGTGAAATTACTATCCATCAAACATAATATTATAAGATCACATTCAAATAACACGGTTCTTTTTATTTAAAACCGCATTTAATCGATGCATTTTAACAAAATGTACGTATTATCGTGTAATATTTTTTTGCCGATCTACCTCGTAAATCTATTGCACGCATCCACAAAATATTTGAATACCCCAGAAATTCCTATTTACAATAATTAAAATATGTAAATAAACGAAATTAAACAGTATACAATTGATTTTTTTAGGATGAAAAATGACTAATTAGAGATCATTTGTGTCGGCGAAAACTGATCAATATTAATGAAGTATTCTTGATACTTGCAACACTAACATAATGGATTATAAGTAAAAAAAAAAAACATGAAAAGGTGTACCTATTCATTATTTCACCTGTAAGTTAGAACACACTTTATGAATATTTTACCGAAAGAAATACAATGAGATAAAAAAGGTGTTATCAATTTAATATATAATATGTCGGATAGGTGTGAATGATTGAATGAATCTTAGAATAACTTAAATATTAGTTTGTGACCTTACTAATTATTACTCTTGCAATGGACACACAAACACACAATTAAGTAGATTTATCGCGATTACGGAACACTAGATCTTGCATCCTATTCGTCACATACACCTTACAAATAGAAAAAGAAAACGCGCCCGAATGGTTGATGCTTCCCTATAACAACGGAAATAAGCTAACTAGAATGTCAACAACTGGGTGGTGAGTCTTTATGATCCTCGACTCCATTAGTGCTTCAAGCAAGTACGCAAAGACGTGTGGTCTTGCGCCTAACCTGTTAAACCTATCTTTATAAGGACCGAGGGAGTCGATCACAAGAATTACTGGCGCAGGTGGCTTTGCCACAGTTGATAGACCAATTGCCATTAGGGTCAAACGACAAAAAATTATGATTATAAGTAATTCGGGCACGACCCCATTCTATTTTAATCATTTTAATTATCCATTGCAGAGTACGGGCATTCAATACTATAAAAATAACACATAATCAAACACACTGGCCAGTCATATATAATTTATTAATTAGGACCAAAACCAATTTTGTTGCCCCCATTTTAACCATTTTATTCATGGTTTCAAATTACATGGTCGCTTTAAAATTTTGAATCATTTTTACATAAGTCGTTGCGTACATTGGCGGGCATTGGCGTTCCCTACACATAAATTTTGGTTTGATATTCATACATGCGACCGACTTCGTCTGGAACAATCAATTTGTAAGTCTATGGAGGCAAATATACCGTTCTTAGAAGTTCAAAGGACAATGACATAAAATGTATTGAAAAAATATATGCGAATACTCTATTTTTGCAAACACACATTAATAACTACTACCTAAGCTATTATTTGTACTATACACATTTAAAGTTAGTTTTTGTGTTTTTTTGGTTTTTTTTTCACGTTTTATAAATTAAAAACTAATTCATTGTCAATTTTAACCTAAATCAATAAATCTACTTAATAACTGATTCTTTTGTCTAATTCTATAAATGTAAACTAAATAATGTATAATTTCTATCTACGTAGGTATATAAAAAATAAATGTGTTTTATATATATGTGCTTGTCGTCAATCGATCAATTGTCCCAATGTCCAATGTATCGTGCCCAATCAATTGATCTTTCTGATCTTGTCAATCAAATGTTACCAGGCACAATTGAACACGATATTTTTGTCATGGCAACAATTGATGCCAATTCTAGCAACCTTTTTTTTTAACATTTTCTATTTTTATGTTTTTTTTTTATTTTTATTTGTTTTTATGGTTCTAAAAATACTTTTCTGACACTATTGACACGCTCCCGGCTCTTGTCGCGTAGGTTAATCCGTAGCATAAATATGAACTAAATATTTATAAATTACGTAAAATTTATTAATGTCACTATACGGGGAAAAGTGTTAAGGTATGAAGAAACAGTATGCACAGTGTGTCTTAATATAGACATATTAAACCGATGAAAAATTTATACTATGACATTAATAAATTGTACAGAACCATCTAAACTAACTGAAAAGGCAAGTCAAATGGCGAAAAATAAAAACTATTTATATATAGTACCGAATAACTAAATAGTACTTCTAAAAAATGCTACGTTAATTGATTTAATGGATACGGAAGAAAACCTAAAAAGGCTAAAAAGTAAGTGATATAAGACAGTATAAAAACGAAATGAGCAAATGAGGTGCAGGGAAAATATTTTCTGCTATGATACATACGAAGTTGCGAAAACTATATTTACTTACTTATTAATTACTTACTACTGTTAGTGTTTAGTTCATTACTATTTAATACCCTGAACAGCGATAATCACCAGAAATTATATTTGGAGATATTGAAAGCCGATTTGAGATCAAACATTCAGACTAATGTTATTTTTGTGCGATAGGACAGATGAAAATGTCTCTACATACAATGCGGCACTACTTAGGATATGTATGTCACGTGGATAGCAGTGCAGAGCCATCATAAGGTCAATGCACTTTGGCAAATCATGCCCCAAGACAGATAGGTAGTTATTAAAACTCGTAGGGCGGCCAAAATTGATTTCTGCGTTCTAATCCCCATTGGAACTTGAGAAAACAAGCCTCGAAACAATCGTAATAAGACAAGAAGAGATGATTCGGATCCGCGCCCTAAATGGATCCGATAGAATAAAGATCTTGGTACTTGTATTGTTATATAAATTTTTGGTGAGTTGCGCCTGATCCGAATACGCGCCTTCATCACTGTAACATTAACCATCAATGCTAATTTTGTTTCTGACTTTTATCGATTTTAATGTTTTGCATTTCAAATACAGTTGTCGTTGTATCGGGTGCAGAGCACCGAATTAATCTTTGTCTAAATCGACGTTGACGAATGGCTTTTTGACAGTTGTGCAGCGCATTATACCTGCGTGCGTCATCATTGGTTAGACAAAAGTGAGCTACTTCGTTGTCCGATGAGGTATATTTCAAAGTGTATCTGACCAAATTCGTATTCTGATAAAGTGCCTCCTAGGCTATGCACTACACTGTTAGATGAAATTCGATAACCACCACATACATATTGTCATAGATATATTGATGCAAATATTCATGACATAACTTACATCTATGAATTGCACTTCACTTGACAACTTACTTCAGTTGTTTTTAGCTCTCAACGATTCTCTACACTATGCAGGATACAAATTGAATCTTATAACTTTCCTGCTAAATCAAAAAATGATTAACAATATTTCTATTCTTTAAGTGTCCGTTCCTAGCGCCGCAAGATTTATAGTTTTGATATTTGTTTATATATAGACATTTTCTTTTAAATTAAATTGCTTACAATAAAGATTTCTAATAGTATACGATACCTATTCTAAAAGTAAAAATATTAAAAGAGTACAAAGTTCGTGTAGTTTTCAGAAAGCTTTAAACCAAAGGCTCAGCATCGTTTGGTAATATAATAACGATTTCCAAAAAAGAGTAAACTTCTGTAGTTCCGTTGACTGGGTCCTGAGTCACTGCAATTGATAGCCACCATGCAACGCTCGGTGCTACAGCCGAACAAGCTTTGCAAGTGACAGCCATCAGGCGGAATCGACTACCTTGATTCAGAAATTAAATAAAACTGGTGATACGCTTAACAATTATCTTCCAAATTTTGGACAGAAGGGTTTTGAAACTCATATTTGTGTGATAAAGAAGAGTAGTATCAAAAATATGCTTTCCGGATGTTTGATGTGACAGTCTGGTAAAGAGTGGCCCGCTTAGCAGTTTAGAAAGACCAATGTTATACCAACGTAAACGCTAGCAGTAAATGCTAGGGGCCGGAAAGTTATTCGCTTTGCGTATATAATTGTAAGGAAAAATAGAATTCGCATGAAGCTGAGGACGAATTTCTTTAAAATCCTGCGTCCCTCGTAGGTTTCGAGTAATTTTACACCAACATCCATGTAGACATGCCAAAAAGACAGTTATGAACTGTCTTATGATTTGAGAGAAAAAGTAACTTTCGCGAAATTATGGAAACTGGAAAAAAGTTAGGAAAAAGTTAGACCGATTAATATACAATTTTTATTACTTTGGTTTTAGCTATAATTAGAAGAATCTTACAGTAGATAATGATAGCATAAACTTAACTCTAATGAAAAAATCAGCAGTCAGTGTGTCCACTGCCACCGTCACCTTCTAGCTGTTGGGGTGGAGACAATCCAGCTTCACGTGATTCACGTGCTTCTGAAGTGATGGTTAGTTCTTGATGGTTAGCCGGTACCAGCCCAAAGCAGGGCGAGGGTACTCCTCGCCCTTCAACAGGGCAGGAGAGACTCCGACTCCCCAGCGTCCGCTCTCCAGATCTAAACTATACGTGCTACGTCGTACCGTCTAATCTAAGCAAATATATAACGTGTCTCAATGTCTCGACAGTAGTCGTGGGTGATTAATCAATGTTATGGAACTTGAGGATCGCCCTCCCTGTGATCTCGGAGTTACAGAGCTTCCTGACGACTTCCTGCGCCTCCTCCGCTGGGAACACCGAGTGCGGCGGCGGCTCGATCTGTTCACAATATTTACGTTTTAGTTTTTCAATACATATATTCTCGCAAACATAACCTAGACCAGACCCTTCCTAATAGACCAGACGACTTGTGATCTTTAAATACTATTATTGAAATTAACGTCAATGATGATACTATCCTATTAATTTTGTATGAAATACTAAATTTAAAGTCATAATGTTCTTGTGTCAAATGGCATAATTTTTTTTAATAGTTAGAAAAATACGAAACTATTTAGGTTACCATTTACATATTATCGAAATCTAGCTATCTTTAAACCCTAAGCATCATACTTCAGAAATATTTATATTGCGCAATAACAAGGTGTTTGATCGACCTAATATAAATAATTCATTTTCATTATTATGTAAGTCATTATAAGTGAAAATCTCAGAGAACTATTTAAAGGAATTAAACAACGCCGACGTAGTTTGTACACATATTATGTAAATTCTATCATTAATTTCACTTATATAATTTAAGACAAAATCCTTGACCGGCAATTGTACTCCGGATTCGAACTTGACCGTTTGTGTGAGGCGTAGTTTTTTCAATTGGCCTCGTTTCCCGACTGACGATGTGACGTCACGGTATCATTGAGATTGTATCAGACAGGTCTAACCACATCCACTGGGATGCTAACAGGATACTGTAAAATTCTGTTTTCCTTATACCTAACTTGAAGCCTGAAGGAAGAAGGGGGCCAGTTCTATTTAAGTGACGAATTAATTTTACGTACAACGACACACTTGTTGTTTAAAGCGTAGGATCTATATCCATACTATTAGGGGAAGTGATGTGATTTTTGTAGGATCAAACATCCTTTAGTATAAACTCCGACAGTCAGTAAAATGGGCGTGACAAAGTCAGGGAGTCAGGAGGCATGTGATTGGCGAGCGACGGTGACCTTCGCACGTCCGGCTGTGGTTCAGACCATGGTACGGAGCACGGGGGACTGGGATGCTGTTTGCTCTTTTTGCAAAGCAGTCATTTTAACTAAAGAGTAGGCTGGACACGTGGGAACGAGCTTGTTTTGCCCCCGCCATCGCGGTGGATACTCCGAATGTCGGGGATCACGAGACGATCTCTGGCCAGGAGGCGACTGTAAACAGAGTCTGCGGACGACGAGCACAGGTAGCTCGCCGCCTGATCAGAGAACCAGAACTGAGCATACGGCACGTCGCGGTTTCGCGCGCACCCCAAAGACCCATCAGACCACCACTGATGGGGCCCAGCAGGGCCAATGCCCGATCCAGAGCAGGAGTTCAAAGCAGGATTAGGAACAGGGTGGTTTTTAATCAGTAAGAAATAGACACTCCTCGCCTCACCCAAGGCGGTATGTCATTGGATGATTTTATGCTTTAAAAAATAGACACAGGAGTTACAGCACATGAAAGTCGCCAAAAATAATTTGACTTTACTTAATCGTTAACATATTGCCGTAAGTATTCATCGTTGTATCTACTGTAGATCCTGGCTTACAGGAGTTGCAGCAGTTTTGGGAGGTTGTGGCGGGCTTATCCCATTAAAAAAAAATATTGCCGTAAGAAGTCACTTCGACTAGTAGATATGACGATATTTACCTAAATATACCTACACTAATAATCTACACTACTAGTATAAAGACTTAGATTAATAACCCCTATAAAGAGGAAAGATTTCATGTTTTGTTTGTTTGAATGGATGGCATCTCCTTCGAAACTACCGGGCCGATTTGAAAAATTCTTTTACCGTTGGAATCCTACATTGTCGATGCTGAACATAGGATATATTTAATAAAACAGAAAAACGAGAACCGTGTAAAAATTTCGATAATGTAACCCGATGTGTGAAAAATCTACCAAAAACCTCCTTATATTGAACACAGCCTGAAACACAGGTTTTTACTGAAACCTACCTCAGGTGGGACGGTACAATTCAAAAAAAATACCTGATTGTACTCATCCTAAATTTTATCTTTGATTATTTCAATGTAAGTTGTATTTTATATTTTTTTAGTATTTATAATTTACCATAATTGTATAATAATTAGACTACTGTTACATCTTTTGGAAGTTTTTGTGTTTAATAAACGATTTTTTTTATATTGATTATAGTCTTTGACTGCCAATAGAAAACTGTCTTCAAGGACTAATAATAGTATTGAGCTGCATCAGAATCAAAGATTTTAAAGAAAAAATACGTATTCAATTAACTGAATACCTACATTTTATTTATGGACTAACTTCTGCGCACGGTTTCGCTCGCGCTCTTTTAAAATATTGACGGCGGGTTTACAAAAGATAAAAAAATAAGTACCCGGTGTTTTCCTGGTCATACATAATAATAGATATGATACTAATTTTAGGTTTCTTGAAAATTACGAAATGATCCATACAAACTTCCACTTCCACCCCTGTTTTAGGGAAGTAGTGGGTTAAAAAGAAGCAAAATGTGGCCTATGCTATTTTCAATCCCTTCTACTACTACTATCTCAACCCAATAAAAATTACACGTCAATTTCTAACAAAACAATAATTATAACCTTTCTATATTATCTGCCATATTTTTGACAAATGACTTTCATGGCAATGGATTATTGACAATTTCTTTTTTTTATTATCATGATACAACATTAAGTATACAAAGAGGCTGAATACTAGTTTTATTAACCTATTTGACTGAAATTCGGTTTAACGAGAGTTGGAGACACTGGTACTGGAAAGGAAATCTCACAGGACAGGAACTATGCGTTAAAATTCCGAAACTCTCTATTGCTTAAACCACTGAACCTATTTGAGTGCAATTAGGTACAACGATAGTATGATATACGGAAAATGACGCCTGATAGTTTTCATCCGCTGTACCTATTTGATTGGAATTCAAATGGAGTTTTAATCACTGAAACCTCACGAGAATGGATACTGTACGGGTAAAATCCCAGTGGGATTATTTATTTTTTGAAATCACGAAAATAAACATCATTTCACAATAAATATAACTAAATTGATTCTGATGAAATTTGTTACATAGCATTGCAATTAACCTTGGAGTAGACTAATTAAAAAATTCAAAATTTACCAGAAGTTATTATTTTACGCGGACAAAGTCGCGGGGAACGGCTAGCCTTCTATAATATGAAAATGAATCGCTGCATGTGTTGCTAAGCACAAATCTCGAGAACAGCTGAATCAATTTAGCTAATTCTTTTTATCACATGCCTGAGGACACGGCGGTGCTCAACCCGTGCAGGGCACACGGCCACCTTATACAACGTGTCCTCCGGCCGGTCCTGGCAGTGATGACACCCGGGGGTTTCCTCCCAATAGATGAAAATTCAATCAAGAAGAAGATAAAGTTAGTAAGAATAAGTAGTTATGTTATAAGACACACTCTATTCCTTTATGAATCAACAATACATTATTTTTAGACGACACTTTAAGAGATTAGTGGGACATTTTTTTATATAAATTTCTATGTAAAAATCCTGTTCGATCGATGCCATTTTTTATAGGTACTCGAATTAAAGATATCAAGGTAATTTTAACTAACGGGTACTTCGTATGGTTTAACTTTCTTTTTGTGGTTTACAAATATAAAACATTTTTTTTGAAAAGAGTAGATAACGATGGAGTTCTTTCTTGTTCTTCTCCATGCGAAACTACACTTTGGACCGAGCACCTAGCAATTCAATTTGACGTTTCAAAAGTGAAGGATCAATTGAAATAAATGCTTTGACTTAGACTATAAATTGTACCTATTTGTAGTCCAATTCATACTATTCCAAATAAATAATTTTATGTGCGGTAATCGAAGGATTCTTGCCTAAGATAAAGACTTTTAAATAAATATTATTAGAAATAACGATTGAGTATTCTATCTATTTATTAGCGGCACTCCCGGCCTGGGTGTAATTTTCCTACTATATCAGTGAATTTTATGGTCATACAGTTCGGGTCTTATGCGATTACCTACATACATTTCCGTAATTTTCATTTATATAGATGTAAAAGGACACCTAGATATTTTCCTTATAGAATAATAATAATGAATATGAAGAACCTCTTCATATTTAATATTGTACGTCGCACCATAGAAATTGTTTTTTATGTGCATACTATTAAGAAAACAATCGAATCAATCAGGCGTAAATATAACTCGCCAATTGAACTGACTTACACTAAAATACGCGTAGATTGACAATAAATTACATTGTTCAATCAACACAGTCAATAATTCTTTGACGTTTTATGCAGAGACATTGAAATCAAATCATAGCCGAATTACCAGGACAGTTAAATGAAAAAAATACAAAATTTCGCAATTAATAGACAACAAAAGAATTAATAAAGACGACAATATTAAATAAATAAAAAGAAATTACAGAAGCAAAGCAAAATAAACTAATGTAGGTACAGCAAAACGAAGTGAAAATTAAAAAAAAAGAAATGAAAATTAAAGAAACAGGATACAAGACTTATAAAAAAACTCACATAAAATGTTTCACCAGTGGTTTAGGAGACAGAGCAGAGAGAGATCTGCATGGAAACACTGAAGCGGCTGCACTGACAACATGCACCGTGGACAGTGAAATATATCATGATCGGTAGCTAACACTGCAATTGGATAAATTGGTCTAAATTGGACCTTGCATTGAGGGACAGAATCGCCGAATTGCCCCCTTGTGAATCAATCAATGCAGTGTATAAGCCCCTGTACACAATTGCAAATGGAAAAGGATTATCGCACATCAAATGCGAACATTTTATGTTTTTTGCTAGGCAAAAAATTGGTGAAACTGGCATTTCGTAGTAAATGAGAGACCTTTCAGCTTCTAATCGAATAACAATTATGGAACAAAGATTTATAATATAAAATTCGCCTAAAGTTTTAGTCCGACCGAACGTCAGCTCTCAAACCTATCAAACAGACCAGAACTAAACAAATAAGAAGAAAAAATGTTACATAATATTTGATAGATAGATGTAGTATAGATAATATTTCATACTCACTTCTCCCCCAGATACCAGATTCACCAGTTCTTTGAGCTGTTCTATAGATCCGTTGGGAACAATTTCTATGTGCACGTTCATCTCCTCAGCTTTCTTTGCGAACTTGGGCAAAAGCTTTTCTCCTACATCTTCAGTCACAAGAACCACACCACCCTACGGGAATACAGTCAGATTAGCAAAATATTGTGATCCTGGCTACGGCTGACGGCTCTCATAACATGTAGGATGGTCAATCCATGTTATTTTCACTGATAGCACCTATATTGTTTTTAATAATTTTAGGTAGCTTATGTAATCATGATAGCGATAACTGCTTCGTTGAAATAATATTGGGCGCTGAAAGTTAGTAAACAACGTCACGTCACAATTTCTTAGATAATGGTAACAATCATAATCACAGTCCACAGATAAGTTTAGAAAAGGTTTACAATACATACCGCAGCAAGACACTGCAAAGATCTGTGGAGTGATCTTGAAGTGGTACCGAAGTTGAGCACCACGTCCACTGGTCCACCACATGCATCTGTAGTCCTCTCTATGAGCTGTTTTTCATACGCATCTTCGTTCCACTGCACTACTTTTACCCTAAATAAAGAACAACCATAGTTTGAAGAACACCGTTGATTTCTTAAAGGTATTGTCATGTATAGTATTATATAGCTTAGCAGTTCAGTGTAGTTACGACACTCATTATTATAAAACAGCGATACAAATTGTGTCTACGTTAAAAAGGATGGCAGTAATCGTCACAGTATGAAAACGTTTTATAACTTTAACATGTGCATCAAGTTTCAAAAACTTTGAATCTGCATGTATTCCATGGAAAAAATATTTATAGCCATCGGTTAGCAACGCAGTGAATGCAGAGCTCAAGATATTTATTGTGTTTAGCGAGTTGAGTATTGAATAGAGAGTTCGCGACTGCGATCGGACCACACGCTAATTATCTAATAAAACCAATCTGGCTCAGCCGATCCAGCTATTGTGCACTGACAATGCAGTTTGCATCGAGATTATTTCTTTCCGCTCATCCTTAAGTGGTCAGACATCTTTGACACTAGTTACCGTGCGAAAATGTATCGTGCTTCGCCATATACCAAACAGACAACAAAGAGGAAACTCTTCTTTTGCGTGTATTAGATGGCGGATTAAGCAAGTGGAAAGAAAGAAGAATGTTACAAATTCACTCTTTTCTTCGTATAATTTTTAGATATATAAATTATTCCTCATAAATCCATACCTTCTAGACCACTGAATGGACTCTATACGACCGTGAGATATCGTACCATTGACGACGACAATTCAATCAGTGCACATCGGACGGAAGATCGTCCTCAGTAACCTTGTATAAATACTGATATAAATATTTAGATGCCATAATTACGTCGTAAAACGAGAAGTGAAGTCTGGCAGATAAAAGAAAATAAAGTAAACAGAGAGTAATACTTACTCTTCACATTCCTTCGCCAAAATAAATCCTTCGTCTTTGAGGGTAGCCACGCATATCCTGATGCGATTGTTATACGAAGCATGTTTAAAGTAATGTGTGGCAATGCGCAGCGCCCACAACGCCAACCCCCCAGTTCCAACAATCAACACCGTCGTGCTCTCCTTTTTCGCTGGCCCATCCAATACCTTCTTCAAACACTCTCCAGCCGTAGCCACTGTATTCGTGGCTAATAAGGCACCAGTGGGAAGCATGGCAGCCACGCTCAGAGGCAATTGATCAGGTATGGGTACTAAACATTTAAAATCTGGTACGACGATGTATTCCGCATATCCATTAGGTACACCTTCGTAAGGATACAAAACAATTCTAGACCCTTCTTTGATTCCTTCTAATCTTTCCGCAGCTTTGCCAATGGCATCTACCACACCTGCTACTTCGTAACCAGGAAACAGAGCGCCGTCTCTCAGACCGATATGGGCAGGAGTGGCATGAGTGTGGATACCGAAGTTCTCCATTTCTCCCGAAAGGCTGCCTATGGAAGATATGGAGGAAGTGCTGCAGACTGAAGCAGAGCGAGTTTTGTTCGCTCTGTAGCAGGCTCCGGCGTACACCACTCGGATCCTTGCACCGTACATGGGAACGTCAGGGACAGGTACGTCAAAACTGAACACACATTCCCTGAGTGTCGGCCCGGGGGACTCAATGGACACTTGTCTGCACAGTTTACTCATTTTGATAACTGTGAACAAATAAAACAAACTTGTTGAAACTATTAACATACATAGTTACAATAAATTAAGAGTAGTCAACAGCGACACGTCAATAACACTCAAGTGTCAGGCACTTCAAACTGCCTATACCTACCCGAACACGTAAGTTTTCAAATTGAAACACTATCTAGAATTAATATTTATTACACAACTAGTAATTATCACGCTACGTCCGCCCGACCTGAGAACGAATACAGATCTGAAGCTAGGAAAAGTCACGTCAAGTCACTATCTTTTCGTAAACAAATCGATACAAGAGATAACAAAAACAGTAGCCAAGGAGTCATTTTAAACAACAATGAAAAGTGTAAACAAGAAAATTTATTCCGCAATGGCAGAACACAGACTTCCTTTATATCTAGATATGTTTAAAAAGTGCTTGTTTGTACAAAACCTACTAAAAAGAGCTTTTCATTATAATCTTGTTGTACTAAAGCAGGCAATTTTATTGTTATCTCACACGCGCTTGTTATCTGTTAATCCATTGATCTGACTGGAGGTCATATTCACAGCCTCTTTTTCAATAGATCAGATTTTTGTTCCTCGTGGAGAATTGGCTGTGCCAATCCCATTCCCATTGTGATCCATTGTCCGTCTGACGGACGAGAGAAGGATGTAATGTGTGCCATGTAGGACGTAAAGTATCCCTCTCTCTTAATATGGATGTTTCTCCTAGTGGAAGGATATAAATCACGTTATTGTATGTACATAATATAATTATAGTTTTCCTATTTTGGGTAACTATATTGTTTTATTACGTACATTTCATGTTCAGGCACCCTTTTTTACTGTTTTATTATAATTATGTTAGATATTATGAAATGTGTAGGTACTTTTCAATATTATTGTGTACTTAGGTGCATACATAGGTTGAATACTAACAGTTTATTCATAACATTTTACCATAACGATGGACATGTTTATTTCCATTCATTATCTCGTGATAAGTTAATAGATGATTAAATAATCATTGCTCTTTCACGAACATCTCACAATGGTACCAAGATGCGTGAAGGTAATTAATAGTACACGTGACAACGCGTGGCATCTTATAACGTGCATCACTCGTGTTATAGAATCACTTGTCCCACCTATCGACACTGATAGTCACTTCACCGCCATAATTGGTGCAAGTGTGCATGGCTATACAAATATTTATATTCCACCAAACATTTCTTACATTCATTGCCGAGATCGGTAGATCCTTGTACTAACGGATTTGTTCTTATTGTTATGACTTTCATTATTACCATATCAACTGCGATTCGTTGCTCATCTCCAATTTTAATATTTTGGGTATTGTGAAATTGTTCTTAGTTATTGGACAGTACATATTTAGACATTATTTCCATTAGTCACACAGAAGAATCGCAGGGAATTTTCATAAACACGTAGCTTTTTATATTAACAAGCATCAGTAGAGAAAGAATCCACTCCAAATTAGGCGTTTTGTTGACGGAAATTAACTCGTCGAGTACCAGTTTTGTAGACACAATTATAGAACAATAGGTTGCGGTCACCGGTGACCGCTTGGTGTTTGACAGTTTAATGACTGTGCTAATCCAAAATATGTGGATTAAGATCGATTTTTGACATTAGTTGTATGGATTTTCTGCTAAAAATAGAGATCTATAAAATAGATTTATCGTTACCAAACATAATTTACGTAGGTTACTTAGGCTTTGTTCGATTTCCCTGTAGTATAATGGTACCTAGTGTGTACGGCAATGGATTATCGCTCTATTATGATATGAGTGTAATATCTCAACTAGATGTTATGTTTAGCATTCCCATGTTATACACCCAGCATATTGCCACCTTTACCTGCGGAAAATAAAAATTCCGAGATTTATGAACTCTGATAGTTATGTTTCGAAAATAAGTGTTTAAAGGCTTTGTTGTTAAGTTTAATATTTCCTTCCAAATACTCTGTACCTGTATGTATTTCCCTATTTACGTATATACTTTGAACGAGAGTCATTGTGCCTTTGTATTGATAACTTATTATAGCATAAACCGGCAGAATGATAATGAAATATTGTTATTGTTTAACGGAACTTAAAATATTCATATGAACATTGTACATGCCTTTACAACATAAGTACAAATTGGCTACGAGCCAAAATATTGGCTTGGTGATGAAGATCCTGTCTTGTCTTTTATAGTTTTTATACTGCATATTTAAGAAGTTACAAATTTAAAAGATTCTGAGATGTTTGGTGTAGATGACTCGCCTAAATTCATACAAAACCGTTCCCGTTCCCGGGTGAGATAGGTGTACTAGAAATCATTTTCCTCCAACGTATGTCATGTCATTCTTTGCAGTTACGCTTTAATGAACTAATTTAACGAAGTAAGGAGACTTTAAACAGAGAACACACATAACAAAGAAAACAAAGATGGCTAGCAGTATTTATTTAATATTACTGTGGGAAGGTTACAGTTGTCCGCGCTCGGAAGATGCACGGATTGATTGTGATAGGCAGCTACAATATGCAATAGTAATAAATTGCATGCGACAATTGGCGTCAATAGTCCCCTTCCGCCTCGTACACAAGGCGCGAATTGTCACGAAAATTGCTAACATTTACATATAAGTGCTCCTATGTAACTACACACTGATTTATTTGATCTACAATGACCTCTGCGTCTTCAGGGCTCAACGTGCTAACTGCTAAGTAATATTGCATTGTTATTTGTATTTTACAATTTTATTATTGAACAAAAATGGATACAAATATGATAAGCAGGTGCAATAATGTTTCATCGGATACAAAACTAGTCTACGAACAACAAGAAAATATGAACAAGGTTCACAACGTGCACGTCTGCACGTTTTATACAATAGTTAGGCGCTCGTCCTGTTCTCAAGCGCGTATTAATAAATGTACTGTCTGCTAAATCACGCGACGGAACTGTGGTATTTTATTGATAATAACTATATGTACGAATATCATACTTACTCAGGCACCGTAGTCATACAATGTAACCTATTTATTTACGCGAATAGTTCTATTGGGACAAGTACATTTCAATTACTGTCTTGTTTAGACATTTGACGTTGTTCTACGATTTTGGGGCTGTTCGCGAGTAGCAGCCGTTTTTATACGATGTTGCTGAGGGTCCTAGTAAACTCTACCTTGTAAGCTGAGTAAATACCTACACATGATGGTGACCGTGATATTATCGTATGATTTTGTGCTTGCCTGCCTAACTTACCAACCCTGCCTGATGTCTAATTTGCAGAAAACTTTAGACACAAGGGGTCTTTGGTTTCTTACACCTTAATTAGTATTAAGGTGTTCAGAGAATGGATGACTGGAAAGAAATTTTGGTATTTGTTTTTATATATTTTTTGTTTCCTAGCTCCTTGTACAGTGTAAGTCTTAGGATACATGGTTATAGAGTCTATTTTGGAATACTGTTACGACTAGGACCGCGTTGTTAATTCTTACACTGTATTCAGAGATGTTAATTACCCGCCAGCCCTTTGTGGAGTCGACCTTTATAAAGGTATATCAAACAGATGGTGTTCTTTGTTTGCTCGCCCTTCCTTTCGAAACTTACATCACTTTTAGCTGTTGTTCATATTTATGGAGCATCTTTTCGACCATGTTGTAATGTCATAAAGATTTCTTGTACATAAAGGTAAGTAAAACTAGATCAGGAACGAAGATTACGCCAAAATACCTACCTACTATACTAGAGTACTTTGTCTGACATTCGAATGCATATCATTCTTTAGTTTTTATGATTATTAGTAGGGGTTAGTTCAGGTGTTTATTTGTTGAATACAACGGAACATTTTACGCATAAAAACTTTCCTGAATAGGTATATCTTTTTCTGTTGATTAATAATGGTACTCACGTAGATATGGAGGCAACTAGGTACCTAGTTCTGTAATAAACAGGATAAAATGCGATATAGGTACTTTCGTTATTAGGTATAGGTAATTAAGGGAGTAGGTAAGCACATACCTACTCAGGTAGGCTTTTGTTTGTTTCGAATAAAAAATATTATTTTGTTTGGATGCAAGTATTAAATAGCAGGCACCTAGGTAATAGTAGTTTTGCACTTTTGCATTTAATATTAAGATAATAACATTGGAATGAGCCAGATGGGATCACAGGACTCACCTTCACTAGTCCAAAACACACGTCACAAAACTTGGGTGATTATTTAACTGTTTATAAAGTGATAATTTGGTCTGTGTGCTGTTTAAATATTACATCTGTAAAGCAACAAGCGCCCACATCAATACTAAAGTCCGCTTCCAAATTATGTCTCTAAAAATAGTGATCGAGCGAGAGGGTGAACTGGGTGTTTTGAATATAATAATAAACAAGGGTCTTGCCCTTGTTTACCGATATAAAATATGCTATGAACACTAACACGCCACTAACTAGTGACCACACAAAACATCGCAAAATTATATAAACACCACTATGACCTTCCCTTACGGTGAAGGTCACGAAAATAACAAAAAAGAGTCCAAATGAGAACAGGCAAACACTAAAAATACATTGCACTCAGTTTTAAGAGCATCTAAGACAATTCGCGCCAGTAATTACATAAATAAGGCGTTTTAATTATAATTTATGTCAGCTTTTTAATTTGTAAATAAACAATGAAACGTGCAGTTCTTATAATGCAAACATATTTTTACCTGATATGCCGATCAATGAACACTATAAATTTTATTCAGCGACAGCTTTCCGAGCGTAAATTTAAAAATTCAAGTTTTATTTACAAGGACAAAAAGACATAGCAATGACGTCACTGACGTTTTTACACTACGCTCCGTTCCTTCTCATACGGTAGCATATCTGAGTAATTAAAATTTAGTCGTCGGCGTTCCTCGGATTCGTCGTCCTGTACAAGTTTGGAGTCGGTCATATATATGCGTAGTACGGAACGACGTAATTAAATTATTAGGCTTGCAACACCGGTAGTAATTATTCTTTTCTATCGGTTATTGAAGATAGATTAGTTAAAAGTAAACAATAAAACATCTAAAATAATAATGTAAGTTTTAAAATTATCTATCTTCTTAAAACACCTAAAATAATAATTTAACTTCTAAAATTGATAATTTATAACTAAGTATACCTAACGCTACTGTTCGAGGTGTTTAATTTTTAAAGAATTATAGCAGTTATCACTAGAAATAAGTAAATGTTGTATGCAAGTCATATAAAATAAAACAGCCGTTGGTGATTTTTTAACAGTCGAGATAAATTAATTAATTAACGTACGACAGTTTTTATAATATTATGTCATTCACTCAAAAAATGATGTGTTTTTTAATCGAGCAACACAGATCGGCGTGGGTTCCGATGAATATTTTGTTAGCGTGGGTAGATTGTTAATTATTTACACGGAATTTTATCAAAAAGTGCACCAGTACGGGTCGTTACAACAATAATATAGACTGCAGTATGGGTGAGTTAACGTTTGTTAATAATATAACATCGCTCGCGATATTTCTTTTGTTATTGATTGATGTCATCTTCGGGGTGGTCTAACAGTGCGAAGCTTTATTTTTTTACGCCTTTGATTATTTTGTGCGGGTGCAAACGTGTTTAAAGGAAGACAGTGAGGTTTTATTTATATTTAGAAGCAAAGCGAGAGTTGGTAAATATGAATGATATTTAAAGTTTAACGAGTCCATTGTGCAAACTGATGTGTAACTAACTGATTGTTATTGTATGGGAGTGCTGTTAGAATATTTCCTTAAAATCTTTAAAGGGGCGACGATATATGTGAGATAATAGTTGAATGACCATTGATCCTTTTTATAAATCAACATAGTGGAGCATTTCATGAGAAAAGTATAAAAATCTCATTCTCTTTTCACCATAAACTTGCCTACATTTGTATGTATAGCCTATTCATTATACTGTGTCTTAACGGCAGCGATTACTAGTATGATTTCTTTCTAAAACAATACATTTCAGTCGAAGTCTGGATCAACAAGACTCGAAATACAGTAATGACTTCCAACATGATACTATTCTCATATTATTTTTAATTATTGTTTTGTGCAAAACTGTTTTAATAATATGTGAATATAATATACAGCATATTTGTATAATAATCATCGTGAGACATACCAAATTTGTAACAATTACTTAAAACTAACAGAGCTGTTCTCGTAAACCAGTGTTTTTAATTTTCAATTTATAATATAAGGCCATTAACTCGTCGAGTACCGGTTTTGTAGACACAATTATAGAACAATAGGTTGCGGTCACCGGTGACCGCTTGGTGTTTGACAGTTTAATTGGAGTATGGGGGAGATGTTAGTCCAGCAGTGGACGTCTTCCGGCTATTAATAAATTGGAGCCGAAATAGACATAATGCACCACCTTATTATCATGCTAACAGTAGTGATTTTGAAAACTAACATCAATATATTCTTGACTAGTGAAACATGTGGAACTAACAACTCCGTATATCAATATGTTTATCAAACCTTGTAGACATTTGCATCTTACTACAAGTTTCAGAAAGTAGCACAGCATGGCCTAACATGGACTTGGACAAAGTAAGATAAAACAAATAACTTTACTTCCATTTGTCAATAACTGTACATAATTGTGCAGAGTGAACTATGCTGATGCTGCATGGGGCCACATTAAGTGTGAAATGGTGGACAACGGGCCCACTGAAAGTATACAATATCATCACAGAAATTTTAGTTCTACATAAAATTATAGTCTAATTATTTCTGCACTAGAGAAATGAGGTTTATAAAAGCAGGTGTACAGAACATTAACTTTTTTGTTATATTCAAACTGTTTTAATTAGAAATGGTTTCAACATAAAACATTATCTTGACTTAAATTTTCATTTTTATTACGTAATCTAGAATCAACACAACTTTAATTACAAACATTGACAAAATTAAAAGGCATATCAACTAGACTCCATCTATATACAATACTGGTAACATGAAAATAATTTATAACATTCATATAAATATTAATAACTACATTACATAGTTTAATGAAAACTACTACTGGCAACCCCCACTTCTTTTAGGTTTTTATTATGAACACTTGCATCAATTGTCTATAAAATTAACCCTTTGGGTACTGTCATTATAGACACAATTAAAAAACAATAGTGTGCGGATACCGGTGTCCTTGCAGTGTTTGACATTTTAAATAAGCACCGTTAAAGTACAAAGGACAAATAAATGTCACTTTTATTAAAAAGTGTATGCTAAAAACATCTTTTTTGTCTTTTTGTCTAATGCTAATGTGAGATATATGTGGTTGCCTTTGCAAAGAAATGTAAGGGCACTGAAAGATAATAAATGATAATTTATAAGAAGTTGTTAGTTCACCAGAATGTATGGAGCAGAGCACAATAAAATACCAATCACTTCACTGTCTTTTATTTTTATGTTTTCCATTAGGTATATCAAATACAACCAGAAGAAAGGACAATGTTTTAAATTTCACAAAATATTTTTATTATAAACTAGATTTTCACTGATCACATAATTAGTCTATATATAGTGCATTCTTTATTTGTCTGAACTCTGGGTCTATTTTAGCATTTCTTCTCAGAGTAGTCTGATAGTTAGAGTACAATGTTGGGCTCATCTAGTTCATTTATTTACTGACGTGTGAATAGATTACTTTGTAACCCATTCCCAAACTAAAAATCATTTCGTTATATTAGTTATAATAATAATCTTTCCATGCCGCTTTCGGCTACGGCGACCGTTTCATGACTACTGGCGTCTATCATGGACTCTCATGTGGCTGGAAAATCCACCTTTGTTTATAAATATTCTTCCATAGAGTAGACACGTGAGAACACTATAAACATAGTTATAGTGAATTGCCGCTGGTCGGGCTTTTATTTCGTCACGTTTAGCATCTAGCTTTGCAAGCCGACGAATCTCAAAGACTGATATTTTTTGTCGCACCAGTGACCTCCACTCTCTGCGGTTTGATGCAAGCTCTTCCCACCGAGATGAATCTACGTCACTCGCCTTCATGTGTCACTTAAGCACATCCTTAGTATGCTAGCACATTATATTAGTATGTGCTAGCTTAAGCAACCTGCACTTTTATGCCCAGACCAGCATAATTCATCTGTTATTAAAATAATGTTATTTTACTCTTTGTAATATGTAACACCATAAAGAAAAGAAATTGCATGACAATAATTATGTATTTTAAAGTGTATTATTTGGTCTTTAAAAGTCACTTAATTTCAGTAGAGTTAACAAAACTATATGGCTATACATTTTTTATATTGTTACAAGGCCCCGTTGCACAGGGTAGACAAAAGTTGCTTGAAGTAAAGGACTGACATTCAGCCAAATGTGGTTAGGACTCAGTGCTGATGCCAAACTATTCTCGAAAAAGCCAGGGGAAATCTAACTTTAATTTTGACTTTGTCCATGACATGATTTTTGCAAACATTTATTAAATTTTCATTTTTTTTTTAATTACAGTATATTAAAAATTTTCAGTAAATTGTAAGATCTGCAACTATTAAACTGTCAAACACCAAGCGGTCACCGGTGACCGCAACCTATTGTTCTATAATTGTGTCTACAAAACCGGTACTCGACGAGTTAATAGTAAAAGTGTAAATAATTCTGAGATTTTCGTTAATTTAGAACTTCTATCACCTCTCAACTTGGTAACCCTTAACAACAATATTGAACAACAATAAAAATCAACCTGACATAGTTAATAGTTAGTGGAATGGGCGAACTGTTGGTAACTTCATACCGTTGGTTAGATTACTGCAAACCCTGTTAAGACAAAGTTAGTTTTGTATCAAATTTGTACACCATGATGTCTATTTCGTTTTCGTCCCGAAGTAAAGTGGGTCTGTCTCGGTAATACAATAGATTTACGAAGATATAAAATGTTTAAAATAAAAAATGACTGGTGAACCATTGCAAAAATCAAACTTTGAAAATGCATACAAAACTCAAAAGTAAATCTCGAAGAGGTAGTTCTCGTCTGGTTGCACGTGCGATGCGAATAGTGCCTACAAATTTACGTCTAATGTGCATATTTCCATGATTTTTTTTAAACTAAAGAAAAAAATTGCACATCTCTGCATCACCCCATGGTTGACTGTTAGAGAATGCCACCCGGCATTAAGTCCGCCATCGTATGTTTATTATACAGAAGTGTTAAATAAATAAAAAACGACATCTTTCTTTTTTTGGTTTTTATTTTATACATCGAAAATACTCCTTATGTCTAGTTGTTTTGCCGCAGGACGAAAACGAATTCACAGTGTATATTTATCGTATACTTATAATATTTATTGCTTACGTCATTAGACCTTGAATGGTGGCAGCCGTACGCCGAGTTCAATCCCTAGGTCGGTTAAATTATGTTTGGGAATGGTCAGTTACCTCTTCTCTTACAATTGGAAGTTCGAGGTCTGTAAACTCACTTCTGCTTTCGCCTCCGAGGTATAACAGTTGTATAGTATACCTTTATGTTATATGAACAATAGAAACATTTGCGATATGTGGGCTTTCTGTGCTCCATACAACAATAGTCACTAATTAGTATCTGAATTCTGAAGTTACAAACTTGCGTTTTATGTAGATATGAGTAGGTGTAGGTAGATGAAATATACATTTTATAATACTCAATAGTCACATATTGAAGAGGAATATTATTATCACATACATCAAACGTAATTCGAAACTGTCATTTTCACAATTTCAAATATCTTCCAAAGACAGTTTTGCTTAAATTAGCTCTAAACCTGAGACCATTTGCGTGATAGTCCCACCTTCAGTTTTCATCACCTATCAGTGAGGCAGTGCATAAACTTCAACGTTAGCCGTAGCAATGTGAAGAAGTTTCTTATTGGTGACTAAATCTTACACGGACACATAAGTAAACTGAAGCCGTAATAAACTTATTCAAAAGGATTTTCGACTTTACGCCAAAATAATAAAGTTTAAATTGTATCAAATTAATGTGTGCGTTGGGGTAGCGTGTTTTACTGGGATCCGTATAGTTAATGAGATCATCATTGTTTTGTAAACATTCACTTATATGACGGTTAACCATTCAAGTTTTACCAGTTATTTCATTGTCTGTGTCACTAACTGATATTTAATTCTATATAATCTTACTCCGCATATTTTATATTTTATGGCATAGTGCGGCGAAAGACCATACGCTAACGAGTCGGGTCCTCTAATAGACTTACTCTACAACCCCCACAGTGCAACGCCTGTGTCGGCACGTCCTTAGGGAGACATGTCTCCCTTGGGTCTAGCTGTGCTCGGACGCACGTGACTGCTGTGTCACCGTCTTTCCTGTGGCTACTGAATGGGTACCTAGAGTCCCCGCCCTCGTCCTCTATGCACCGGTGGTCCCAAAGGTCCGGCTGTGGTGCCTTTTTTTAATGACGGGGGGAACCTCCCTAAGGTGCCTGGATTTGTGTGGATAAAAACTAGGAAGTGTAGGATTCACCCCGGTGGCCACCCTCAACACCTGTATGGAGGCACCGGGTCCTCTAAAAGAGACCTGTTCCGGAGCTCCCACGGTGCAACGCCTGTTACGACACATCCCTTGGGAGACGGGTGCCTCCTTTAAGCCTTTCTGTGTACGGCGGGACGTGACCACTGTGCCACCGACTTCTCTGAGACCACTGGGTGTGCACCTAAGAGTCCTCACTCTATGCCCGTAGTCCCACGCCTGCAGTGTCGACAAGCGGGATTCCGGTGTGTTAGGCGTCAAGGTGGTTCCTCGACGTCTTCTACAAGCAGGATCGACCCTTGGGCAAACACTAGGATTAAAAATTGGGAAAATCTTTGTTTATTACATAATCCATGATATTTTTTATATTTATTCCCACAACTCCATTGTGCAATAGTAATGGGAGTGAACCTGTCGCAAACCATCGGGCAAAATTGCAGACACCGTATTATCATTAACTTTACAATATGCAAAGCCTGACTTGGGGTCGAAAGGATCCGGTTAAACCTTTTGTATAAAGGAGTACCGGATTGTCATCATACATGCGTCTCGTCAAAGTGGGGACAAAAGCGATTGCCAAGCAATAAATTGATTTTTGGATATTGATTATGAGTCAAGTCATAAAGAAAAATATTATTCGTATCTTTAAGGAATCCGCAAATTCCTCCAGCCCTGGTTTCAATTTAAATAAATCTTAATTTAGATAGTTATCAAAGTGGGCTTGTACGAAACGAAATAATTATAAATGTAATGTATCACTAAAACAACACCAAAACAAAATTAAAAACATTAAGTGTAACTGACAATGACGTTCAATGGACTCAAGAAACCAGGCCAGTTGTAGTTACTGGTCCAAGTTCCCAAGAAAAGATTCAATAAAAGGTTTAAAGTGAATCAAGTGGAAGAAAGGTCCATTAATTGTTAAGTATAGGTTGCAATGGAAAAGGGAATCGTGGAATTATTAATCAGTTCCACAATTTCTTTAAATGCCATCCATTCTTTTCTAGCTGACACTATAGTTTCGTAAGAAATTGATTTAATTAAACGTGTTTCGTACCAGTTTGTAAGAGAAACGTAAATTTCCGTCCTATGCATTACTTTTGCTCTGAAAGCATTCAATACGTTACGCTTTCCATAATCAGAGTGAGTCACACTTTGTGTAAATAGTTTTGTGGTATTATTAGTTAAAATTACTATGAAACACATACGTACCTTTAAATACCTAGCTTTAAATCCAAAAAGTTAGGCAAAATTACTTAGTAGCTGCAAGTTTTAGGGTACCCTGTCATTATAGTCCTCGAAGGGCCGATTTTGCCAAAGCCAGATAATTTTTTAACTGTAGAATAACTTTGAATATTTGACTATTCTTCCATACTAAGAACTGTCAAATGTCAATTGCATTCTACAAAGAATCAACTTGTGATTGGAAAATGAGGCCTAAATTCACTAACTGATAACCATAAACTCCCTCTGTTAACCATACTGTTTATTAGAGGTATATTCAAGTCGCATCGTTTTTACTAACATTTACTTATCACTGCAATGTCGATGTAGGTACTACTAGGTTATTTTTTTAAATATTTCCGCATAAATGTATTTGCATAGACAGCCACAACCAGTAAAATGAATTATTAATTGGTATTGTTATTAGATATTCTGAAAATTGTAGCCTTTTTTATCTTACAACTACTAGAATAAACGTCTTAATTTTCAGTTTCATGTCTGGCAAAGCTTAATTATAATTTAAGATTATTTCAAATTGTTAAAGAATATTACTTACACGACAAAAGCTAGCGTATTAACCTTTGCGAATTGCTATGCACTGCGAACACTTATCCTAGTAATGTTGGAGTAGGTCCCATTCTTTCAATATTTCATTCAAAGTTATTGAGTTTATGCCGTAACCACTATAGGTGCTAGCTTAATTATACTAGACAACAAAATGCTATTTATAGCATTTTGCGTAATGATACTCTTTTTATTTTTGAAATATTATAACGAGTCCATAGTCTTTACAGAAGGCTTGCACTGACTGGAGGTAGAAAATTTATATATGTCGTAATATTCAGTCGTCATAATTAATCGATCTATGTTAGAAAACGAGAAACACGAAACGTTACTGAACGACGCTCTAACCCAATCAATAACAAAAAAAATATATTTATAAGACACCAAAGTTGCTTAGCTGCAGGGCTGCAGGTTCTCTGTTTTAGTTAACTTCCTTTTTTAGTGTACTATTAAGAGTTTTTTTTACAAATAATACACTTAAAGCTTTGATTGCAAACAGAACACTGTTGAAGCAATTCCTCCGCTAACGTCATCACCTGTGATCCCCATCGTGTTTAACTTAAATATATCCAACTTAAAATTAAATTCCTTAGTTTGAACAAAGTGAATTATTAAATGGTGCCAAGTTTAAATTTACAAACAGAAATAAACTTAAATTGAGCCAATTAACCTAGACACTAATGAAATAGGTTTCATCACTTCGGACTCAAGTTCCTCAATAATGAAACAATGTTCCCTTTTAAACCGTCTACCTGTAGTGTGTGTGTAAGTGCATACTGTAGTTGTACGTATGCTGACCGAAGGGTTGTGCCGTGGGGCACATCCAGTGACGCAGCGGACGCGGCCAGGGGTGGCTGTGCGCTGGCTACTCGAAACTATATTAGCTGTTGCGTACTACTTCCGAACTAACTTTGTCGCTACCAAAAGTTTCTCGAACGGACTCTAACCACAAATATGGGAATTAAATTCTAAAAATATATTGGCGATTCCATTCTACCAGTAAAATGCAAGGCGAATTCAAGATTCCGTTTTCTCCATACAAAATATTGTACTTATTCGAAATTTTACTGTTTTATGAATAAGTTTTTTTTATTTCACGTTAATTATATAATTTTGTCGTTATAATTTGTATTAATAGTGAATATTGCGATCTTGTGCTTAGTTCCATAAAATGATGTACCTAGGTTAATAAATTTTATTTTTACCGATTTGCGTTTTTTATTTTGTTTGGTTTTTTTATTTTTATAATGTGTTTCAATTCTTCGAAACGAATTCTAATTCAGTACTTTTTGTTTTCCAGTAATCGGCCTGTTGAACCTTCAAGACAAAAACTGAGAAAAGCACCGGTAAGTTTTTTTACCTAATGTATATGCCTTACAGTCGCAAATTTTTAACTTATCTGCTAAATCTCTGTAGTTTTAAGACCTACTTATGATATACCTCGATAGCCAATATTTCATCATATAAATGCACAGTTCGCACAATGTTCAATAGTGGTGGCAGTGCTAATTAAGGGGATTGTTAAATTTAAAATCAAGATGGAACTATCTACTAAAATCTAATTTGGTGTTGTCAATACGTTCGAAGTTTCGCGTTTCTGAAAGTTTGTCACGTAAGTTGCAGCCGCGGAGGCGGCGGTGCGGTGCCAAGCTAATTGATTAAAAAATATCTTTGCAAATTATAATATGTTCTTAGGAGCAACTGACACTATACATTCCAATATTATTACATTTATATACCCCATGCTCTGTATTTACGAGCCTTGCAGTGTAAAAGAATTCAATTAAGTTATCATATTATGGTCTTCTGTTCAAAGGGAATATTTAATCATGAAATTTCTTTTGAACCTTTCATTAAAGATGGGGCTTCATTTTTTTCTCTTTATTAAAATATAAGGTATTGAAGACGTAAAAATGCAGCATGCAGTCGTCAAAAGAAAATCTCTGTATAATCCCTGAAAATACGCTTCCATTTTCCATGAGTCTGACCTGAACGCAACTATAGTAAATATCGAGTACTAATTAACTTTTGTAACGCGTTTCTTCATTATTTGTTTTAAAGTAATATAAGGTTGTGATTGAGTGCTTTTTGTTCGTGTTTGCATATAACATAGCACAACAATTGTTATTATCTGACGAAGTGGATAGTAATACAATACATTCTCAGATTCCTATTAAACTATTGAGTATGTTATTGATCTTGGCTTAGTAAGATCGAATTTGTCGTCAAACACCGAGCTGAATAATTCCAAAATTCTTTTTATGATTGAGAATGACATTACATTGAGTGACCAAAGTGCCATCGTTTGACCAACACAAGCTAAAGTAATCACTTAAATTCATCATTTTCGTCTTTACTCAAACATCTTTTTATAGTGGTAAACAAAAATATCGTGTGATTGACTGGAAGTAGGCACTTACAGTCAAAGCCATCTTTTCGCGGCTTAAGATCGTTATTTTTAAAGTCTGATTCTTTTTAACTATAAAGGTACCTAAACTTTTTTAGAGCAATGCAAAGACGTTAACGTCAAATTAGACTGTTCACTCACACGGGAGCTTTGTGCCGTGCAACTGTAAAACGTCCAAAGTCCTTTGTAAGTACGCAAAACTCAATCCAAACGTCAAGTAAGAAAGTTGAAACGTCAATATAACGAATCGCTAAGTAATCGCACTCATTGCATTCATTAAAGAGCTGTTTAGCCCGCAGATTGAGAGCTTAGCAATTTACTATCGTCAGGAAATCACGAGTATTTTGAATTATATAACAGCTTCCTTTGCGTTTTATTCATTTTATAAAATGTCATAACCGCCCTTTAAATCGTTTACCGTTTCGCAATAAAAGTTTAGCTAACAGGGAATTGGAAAGGCTTCCTACCGCCCGCCGCTACCGTTGGTAAAAATAGAACTATACAAACACAATCATGAGTCCAAAGCGCTGGGGTGTTACGTATGATTAAATCATTTGCTTTCACATACTTTATAATTCAGAAATATCGATTCGGCTATAAATACCATTGCAGTTCAGTGCTTTTACTTCGTCCTTTTCAGTTCGTACCAGTATAAAATGGAATTAAATGGAAAGAACACAAGCTCTGTCTCGTAAAGGCGCTTTTCATTCAGAGTATTGAGACCGATAGATACATATCGAGACCGTACTCTTCTTTATGAACTACTTATTCTACTAAGTGGGGGATGCAATTAGTCTTCTTTTCAAACATTTCTTTGTGTTTTGATTATTTATAGATTTCTATGTTTTGTTAGAGTTAGAACAATTTTATATGACATCAACAATTCGCTTAACGCAAATCGTAGACTGTGAACAATTCATTCATCAACATTGATGACATATTATATATACATAATATATAGAGGTAATATACGCTCGGTTCGGGAAATTATAATATACTAGCTTCTGCCCGCGACTTCGTACGCGCAACTCCGATATTTCCCGTTCCCGTTCTTGATTTTCGGTAAAAAGTAAAAAAAGTATTGGGTAAAAAGTATCCTATGTCCGTCTCCTGGTGCTAAGCTACGTCCCCACCAATTTTCATCCAAATCGTTTTAGCCATTCTTGAGTTATAAATAGTGTAACTAACACGACTTTCTTTTATATATATAGATGAGTCAGTTAAAAAAATGAGTTATCTCAAAGAATGAAGAGAGTTAATTTTCATCTTAATTGTAACTCTTCTAAGATTTTCTCCTGCGAACGTTCACAAATACATAATTTTACATACTACACCACACCCGGACCAACGATTTGCTCAGCAGCCGGTGGCCAGTGAGATTTCACGAAAATACCTATGTTTTGTTAGGAATGATGACATACCGATGACATACGTTTTGTTGTGTACAGTGAACTACATCTTTGTTTCGACGAGCTTTGCATTTTTCCTTTACTTCTGGTACAACACAACAATACTTCTTGGCAAAATTCAAAATTCTGGGTCAACGGGATGTTACGTTATGTAGAGGTAGATATTTATGTGAAAACCGGTAATGATCACTTAAGGGCGCTTGGAAAAGTTTCTAGCAGTGTCTTAGAGGATCAAAATAAAGCATAGTCTAATATCTAGAAAATGACTGAAAGCATAATAAATGTAAGATATTGTATTGTGCTTCTGTAACTTGTCTATGAGCCTAACGATAATGTTAAGCTACACCATAGTATTGTATTGTTAGAAAACCTGTAATATCCATTCGTCACTGCGAGGAGTTATTTGCTAGGCCTGGTTATTGTCCCTTTTATATCCCCTCGCTACTGCACCACTTTCTGGACGCGGCACATTAGCTGAGCCGACACTGCAATCACCTACTTCCTTTAGCACATGATTGGTCCCACGATGCATCTTGAATGCATTAGCTAGTGATAAATAACGACCACATGTACATACATTATGTACTTGTATATGCTATAAGGTCGTTCTATATTTTTATCTAATAATTTGATCCTGTTGTTAAAATTTTCGATTTTAAAATTTTCATCAATATCCTGCTAGTAGTATATAAATGACTAGCTGTTGCCCGCGACTTCGTCCACTTAGAATAATGACATCTGGCAGAATTTAGGCTTTTCAATTAGTCTTTATCGAGGAATATTCTACGGTAGCGAATGTCGTCAGAATTGGTTTAGAACCAGGTATAGGACTCCTCCCCCGTAAATGATAGTGTGATAATATTATGTATGCATGTATGCCTCACTTGTTTCACTCACTTGGAGATACGTACAGACAAACAGACAATAATTCAAAAAACCATATTTTTGTGATCGGTATTGACTTATAAATTACGTCAAAAGTCAAAATCATTTATTTCAATTACACCAGGAAGGCACTTTTGAACATCAGCAATAGAAATTTAAAAATGAAGCTATTTGCTCATTCCAAGGTGTAGATTCCTATGAAGAAGAACGAGCAAGAAACTCCATAGGTTACTCTTTTCCAATCAGTTTCACAATACAATTCTTCAGTTACACACTTTTATTGCTTTGATTGTGCGAGAACAATGTAACACCAAAATCCAGCCAAAGTGATCGAAAAATAACCTTAAAAACAATAAATAATACAGTCTGGAACTGACCAGTTACAGTTGACGGCGCCCGTTCACGAACATGACACGTACACCAGCAATGCCCAACTCAACCATATTGCAGGGAATCTAGCGATCCAATGCACGTGCCACCGCCAATGAGATCTTTGAGGGAACACAACAAGCTGACATAAATACATTCTACTAGTCCAATTTAATATTTAGTTAATTATAGGGCTCTCACATTAACAATGATTATGCAAGTTAAACAATATACATTTTAGCGACTACGTTGTAATATTTAGGTTAGGTTATCCCGTTGAGCTGGACCAGCGTGCATCCAAGCATTTTTATCTTCTATATAATCATTAAGTTTGTCTTGCCGCGACGACCTAGGGTGTAGATAGCTCTGACGGCGCGCTTTTGTAAGATACAGCAGAATGCCATACGACATAATGCTATGAAAGTAACCGAAGTACACTAGTCTTGCCGTGTCTATGTCGGTTAACTGTCGGATCTTCCAGACAGCATAAGCTACAGAGCTCAATCGTCCCGCTAAAGATGTAATATGAGGACCCCATTGCAGTTTGTCGTCTACAGTAATTCCCAGAAAAGTAGTCTCTTTTACAAATTCTAACTTCTCATCATTCAATATTATGTCACATTCGCTGCTTTTAACATTTGGCAAAACAAATCTTTTCTGGCAAAACATTTTGCCATTTTATCGTTTAATACTAAATTATTTAATGTAAACCAATTTTGAACCTTCATTAAGGCGTTATTTACGTCGTCATAATTATTTGTCCGTCTACTTATTTTAAAAACCAATGAAGTGTCATCAGCAAATAAAACCATATGTGGTTCATTTTTAAATAAATGGAGTAAGTCATTTATGTATGTTAAAAATAAGAATGGACCCAGTATCGAGCCCTACGGTACACCCATAGATATGCTAGCACCCTGTGAGTTTATTTTGTTTATTTGTACTTTGAGTTGCCTATTTTGAAGGTATGATTTTAATAGATTTAGCGATACTCCTCGAATGCCAGTGTTCCAGTTTTAGCAATAATGTCTCATGCTCAACACAGCCAAATGCCTTCGATTGATCACAAAATATGCCAATGCCATCATGTGTCTCTTCCCACGAAGCGAAAATCCGCTTAATTAGCGCTACTCCCGCGTCAGTAGTGCAGCGACCTTTGGTGAACCCGTATTGTTGGTCATGGAAAATAACATTAATGTTAAAGTGACGTAGCATCCAGATGCTACCCAGGTAAGCATTAGTCTTTCAAAAACTTTGCTGAGCACTGGTAAAATAGAGACTATACATATAGTTATGGGTATTATCGCCCCAAGTATTCTTTTTAAAAAATATTCACTGTACAGTTTTGACTATTTTTTGATTTTATTATACGTATGTATGTATAGATAGACGATCATAGTCTGATTTAGCTCTTTCTCCTGGAACTCTACTGCTAACATTTTGATACAATAAACTTTGTTGTATGACTTAAAAATTCATCAGATTTAAGGTTTTTTTTATACATAATCAATAAGTTATGTATACCTTAGATTGCTAGATTGTGGTCTAGCGCTCTCTTCTATTCCAAACGCGTCTTCCATAATCTATTTCTATTTAAATAAGTACGTTATTGAAAGCGTATTGTGTTGTGCCAATAGGTCGTAACATACATAACAATTCCATCGAAGTTAAAATCTAAAGTATCTCTCTGTAAATAGTTATTTTTAGTTTTGTTTTATTTAATTTTTATCTTTTAGTTATAGCGTATCTTAAGTTGTACATATTTATTTATGTTTCCTTTCCTTATGTTGTAAAATCTCAGTTTTAATAAAAATTATGCTCTAAAAAAAAACAGTGTAACAAGTAATGTCCGACCGAAAGTTCGGTTTCGATTTCGGCCAAAAACCAAGTTTCAGAGGCAGTTTCGGTTTCGGCCAAAATCGGTCGAAACTCATGTCGAAAGTTCACACACGTTCACGCTCGCCTAACTTCGTTTCCCGCGGCAACGCTTTGATGGACTCTGTCTGCTCTGCTCGGCAATGGTCATGCGCCATTCGGATAGCTCTATAGCAACAAAACTGTGCGCAAACATTCTTTAAAAGTTATGTCTTGAAAGAACTGATATATACGCGTAAAATGCACCGTATTTAAGAATTTTTATACTTGACTTGACATGAGTATCGGTTTCGGTTTCGGTCGAAACTGAAGCCATGTTTCGGTCGACCATTACTGAAAAGTACTTACTTCAAATCTGATAATTTTAAACTCTGAACAAAAGTTGTCGATGATGCAGGCTGGGATTGAGATTGACAATGTTGTAAAATAAACATGAATGTACCCTAGTTTTCCACAAAGGATTATTGACTGTAGAGCCTATTGTGTTATGCTCTGAAGTAACATAGGCTTTTGCATAGGTCACTGTTGATTCAAATCCTCGATAACATGCTCTTGTATGTCTTTGTTACGCTAAACCTAGCCAACAGTAGAACACTTTGTTTGTTTCGTGTTTACAACAATAGTCAAAGGATGCGCTTCGAATGTTTGCTCGTTATATTCAGTTTCACTCTATATTTAGTATTTAACTAGCAGTAACTTTAGCTTAAATGAGCAATAAACAGATACATAACTTATATAATTGTATTATTTTGTTAGACTATGGTTTTGATGTTTTTTAATAAAACGCCTCTTTATTTTACACCTCGGAAACAGCAAGTTTTATTGCCAAGATGAATACGTCTATTTAGAAGTTCAGGCACAGTGACAGATGACTGAAAGTTCACTAGAACACCTTTATTTAATTCATGTAATTCAGGTATTAAGTCAATGGATTAGTCAAGCCAGCCTTCTGGGTACTTTTCCTAATGACGTCGATGCGGACGAATTTTTTGATCCAAATAGTCATTTGTAGTTTTCTATTATTTTATTTTTTTCATTAGTTTTATTGTATTTTAAGTTGTCTCCCAGCTAATAAGTAGGTACTTAAAATAGAGAAAATAAAAGTCAATAAATATGTTCCATCCATCATAAATTAGTTAAGCTGTAGTTTCAGGCTCAGTTACCGGGAACAGCGGTGAAGTAGGTCGCAGCGACGTAACTACATAATATGGTATGTTATGCCAAGTTAAAAGGGACACGTATTGCTACCGATGCACGTGAACCAATAAATTGTGAAGATAAATGACTGCAATCACTTAACTTAGTTTACAAACCGGTACTGACCTATTGTCTTAGACTACGTCTATCTAATAAGTGGTAGGACATGTCCTATGTATTTCTCGAAGTTCTAACCAAGACTGACCACTCACTGCTGCTAGAGTGGTGTAACTACACTTAATGATGAAAGCTATAGGGTTTGTTTTTACGTGTACGGGATAATTATAATAATATATTATGTGTATTACTTAATTTAAAATTGGCTGAAATAAGTTAACAAGTTAACAGTTAATAAGTTAACAGAGCAAAGTAGTGTCCGCTTATGAATGTGGCACCTTATTTTAAAAACTTTGTTTTTCCTTATTCAGTTGTCGTTGATTTGGCAACTTGAGATAACATCTTCAATCTCGATACATTATTTTGATCGAATAACCGTCTTTTCTTTTCAGTTAGGTATTGTGTTTTGTGCCAAATAAATATTGATGCCAGTCTCTTAAAACCAGTGACTTCCTCAATTTATATTCACGGGTTAAACAAAATGCGAAGTCTGACATATTTTTAACACCGTCCGTTATTTTTATTTTTCAATTTTTGATACCATCGAAAGCAACTGGAAAAATCATCTGTTAAAACATGTTGAGTTCAGCTGCAGTAAAATTAATTACGATTCGGCCGTACGTAATTCCAGTTTCGGCTATTGACATCGAAATTAAGAGTAAAATGAAAATATATTGAGTGAATAATGAAGTGCATAATTCTCCTACAAGTACACGTCGTACAGACTGTATGATTGGCAGGTTAATTATACGGGCCCTTTCTGCTCATAGCAATGCTATTGGCATTTGGTCCGTGCAAATATGCGGTAGATAGTTCCACCTACGAAAATCGGATTTTACGTCAACTTTTATTTCTGACTATTTTAATTAAGGTCAGTATTATTGATGAATATTTTAGTGCATTCTTCCGATTTATTTACAAACTTTACGCTAGGTGGTATCTGCTAAAACTTAGTTGTAAGAAATACGGTACGGGTTTCCTATCTTTGCAGTTTCTTGCTGTTTGATTACTAACGTGCTCCGTACTTGTTAGTTCCACGTAGCTCGGACTTCATCTAATTTCATTAATTAGACACCAGACATTAATTTGTTTTGTAAGATTTTATGCGATACAGCTTAGTTTAAGCTTGAATTAACTTTATAAATGATTCTGTATCATTACCTGTTTATTTTTGCAAATCGGACGTTTGTCAGTTTTAATTAGACACGTAACACTGCAGTCTACTTGTTACTGCGAATGCTGAAAAGCACTCGAAACGTCAGAATTATGTTATAATTAAGTTGTATCCAGAAAACATTTTTAGTCATGGTGTAAAATAATCGCAAAAACCTTTTAAAAGTGATGAATATAATAGTGAGTAGTACATCTGAGTGATAGGCTAATTATTTTTATAGAATAGTATAAGTAATATTACATCCACATTAAACATATTATGGAACCGTATTCGAAATTTTTGATAAAAAAAAATATAAGTGTAAAACAATATGACCTGAGACTCAACGGAACTTAATATGATTAACTTTTGATAATCCACTTATGAAGGACAATTTTCAAAAAACTTAGGATTACCGCAAATTAAACTTGTTTTAGATTTTGAGTATGACTAAATTCAAATGCCACATAGTTGGCATTGTCCTTTCTATTTTTCTTTAATTCTTCAACCGTCATCGGAATCCTTAATAATCTGGTAAGCGAAACGGACAAGAAATCTATGTCTGTGTCTTGATTCGGAATATGTTATCCGAAACATCTCCGTATCCGAAACATCTCCGATTCGCACTCGGAAAAGTTTCATTGCGGCCTCGCGCATCGTATACGGGTAGCGGGATACCTCATCCATTCAAACCTTGGACAGACTATAATTGGTTTTCCAAATGCTGTCTTTGAGCGCAACCTGCCCATTGTTCGGACTCCATCTGCACAAATTCCTTTTCAAACGTTACCTAAAGCCACCAAATTAATTCACTCGATTTTAGTAAGTCTTCTGTCACTTGCAATACGCGACGCAACTTTTCACATATCTTTCCTTTTTTACTGTAATATTCTGATTGTTTTATAAAATTATTGGGTATTAGAGTAAACCTAATAAATATGCTGATTGGGCTGAATAATATGCTGTTTCCTTCAATAGGTATCCCGATATGTTTTTATTTAAGATCATAATGAGTGTGATTACTTATTACAAATACAAATGTATGATACACATATCCGTGACAACAATTTGAGCTTGCAAAGAGTTGTTTCTCAAATTCCAAACCAATTCTGCTAACAAATCAATTTTTAAAGAACATATTTAGAGGAAATCCTCTACTACTAAGAAATAAGTCACGTTCAACCCCTTAACCTAATGATATTATTAAGCAGCAATGACATTATTTGTCTTACTTGTTCCAGGACTCCAATATGTCGCAGCAGTATAGTCTACGGTGGAATAACCACCAGCCGAACTTTATATCTATGTTCACGACCCTATTGAATACTCAAACTCTCGTGGACGTAACTCTCTCGGCTGATGGAAAGCAACTGCTCGCACATAAAGTTGTTTTATCTGCGTGCAGTACTTATTTCCAAGTGAGTATGTCGTAGTTTATATGATTAATATTATAATTACATAAGTTTTTTTAGAAAGACTAGTCTTAGTCCGATTCTGGGGGCGAAAATGGAAATTACCAAGAATATTACATTATGCCATATGCAGATAAGGGCTACATAAGGCTCTTTTTGATTTGCAATAGAAGCACCAGCCGCCGTTTCAAACTTCTGACATAACAACAACAAACAATTTCGATTATCTCAATGGACCGTCCCTGGGATTGAACCCGAGACCGTACTTGTCGTGCTTCTAATGACACAGCAGAATCCTCAATTCTTGAGTATCCGACGAACATTTAGATTGTATATCGTTTCTTACTTAGGAAAAATTTTAAAGGACTGCGCTTTCCTCGAAAGGCTCTCAAACACTTCTGAGAACATCAGTGCACAATATGGTCTTGTAGAAACGGGTAGCAATTTCCAAAGAGCATTATGTTTATTTACAAGGAGAAACCAAGGAAACCATTTGTACTAGTGCTTGCTTTAATACGGAAATATTGCGTCGGCACGTTTTTTCTCAATAGTGCACATTACTGCATCAGAGCACTATCGTGGAACCGTTTGCCCATCATATATCCATTTCTTTTTGTTATTTGTCATCGTTTATTACTTTGTTGTAATGCGTAATCTATATCTACAGTTCTTACTTACGTAATGTCCTGGTGGCCCGGAGGTTTAATACTTCTTAAAGCTTCTGATGAATTAGATACCACTGACAAACGGTGAGGGTAAACATCGTGAGGAAACCTGGGATTATAAAGTCTAATTATATGTTTGGTATCGCCAATCCACATTGAGCGAGCGTGGTGATCAAACCTTCTCCGTGTGAGAAGAGGCTTCGCCACATAACATAACATCATGCATTTTGTTCCCGAAGGGGTAGGCAGAAGGGCACATTATGGCACTAAATGTAAAACCTATTTTTCACTATTTATGTTATGAGTCCCATGTAATAGAGGGTGAGCCTATTGCAATATACCGGACACAATTCTAGACTCAGTGCTACTACAGAGAATTTCTTTTTTAAAATCCCCGTAATACTTTGCCCGAATCAAGAATCGAACCCGAGACATGTATTCTAAAATAATATTCTAAAATAATAATACCATCACAAATTATAACTTCCCGCTTTGTATTTCCAGTCGCTGTTCGTTGACAATCCGTCTCCACATCCGATAGTCATTCTGAAGGATGTGACGTATGCCGACCTGCGCACTATGGTCGACTTTATGTACTGTGGGGAGGTGAACGTCACTGAGGAACAGTTGCCCAAGGTGAGCAAGGTGTTATCAACAATGTAAATTACAAAACATTATATTAGTGTATTCGTTTTCTGCTGTTTCCATTTAGCCTTTAAGTTATACTGATTTTGTTTTACCAGTAATGAACATAATCAGATAGAATATGGGTAATGGAAAATCCCATTTGAAATTAAGTCCACCCTTAATAATTTAACTGATCATCAGGCTCCTCTTCTACTCTTGACTATTAAGAAAATAAGAGTCTTAAATAAATGCTTGAGTAATCTTTTGTAGGTCCTGGACACAGCCAAGCTTTTAAAAATAAAGGGCTTAACGGAGATGCCGGACTCCACGTCACTAACACGGTCCCAGGGCACTTCGGCCGAGTTCCAGAACCAGGGCGACTCCATGGACTCACAGAGGCAATCACCAGCTGCCTCTCCCTCCAACAAGCGCAGACGGTATGAAACAAAGTTCATCACTAACAATTCGTATCTAAATGACCATGGAATATCTTGCTTAGATACATCATCTTTTATGCAAGGATTAAAAAATAAATCGCAACAACTTGCCAAACCGTTTTCAATAAGTATTAAACTTTATTTGTTTTCGTCAAAGTAGTACAATTCGAGATTTATTTGAGTAGGTTGATGCAAATAATTATGGGTTTTCTTAAACTTTCAGGCGAAGGAAAAGCTCGAGTGGTTCTACTTCACTAAACGTGGTAGAAAACGAGCAAGGCCGCGCTGACGTCGCCGCTCAGACGGTAGATGCGATCACGTTAAGCAGCGTGCCACAACAACGGCGCATGCGCGAATACCACGAAATTAGAACTATCGACAATTCGCAACAGGTAGACGACGTCAGTACATCCTTTTTTGTTTTCTTTATTTTTTATTTAATTATTTATTTATTGTTGACCCGAACCTATACTTTACTATAATTTTGAAGTTTAATTCCCTTTTAAGTTTTCAGTACTTGAGTTTGATAAAGATCTTTTTCTAGTTATTTTACTTGTTCAATGACCTATAGATCGGCCTATCCCGATGTGAAAAGGCGTTTCGAGTGCAATAAGTCGAACCATGATGACATAACGTCACGCCTCTAGTTACTGAATGCGTAGACAGGGGTGCATACACCAAAGTGACACCGATCTTTACCAGTTATGAGTCCTTTACAATGAGAGGTTATAAATCAATATCTTATTAAGAACTGGCTTCTGCCAGCGTTTTCACTCGCGTGGGATTTATAAAGTAGCATAATAGGTTTTATGCCAGACCATAATCTATGCCTGTTCTAAAGGATGACGGGCACTAAGTACCTGGCGACCAAAAATGACCAGGCATATGATGTTACAAAGCTCTTTTCGTGACTATCATTAGTTATTATGGGGGCCAGTCTCAATTCGTTGTAGGGAAAATGTTATAGCTACTCTGACGCGCCGCGTCGCGAATCACGGAATGCTGCTCATGAGTATCAGTCTGTAGCATGGCTTGAATCTAGTGAAGTTCCTCGTCAAACAGTTACGTGATTAAACCAAAAACATAATAATTCATTTTATATTTCCCTATGATTTCAGACCACGGAACAGGACCTGAATGTTGAGCAGATTGGACTAGAGAACACACCCACAGCGATACCACAAGGTAACAAATCATAATTTAGTCTTTGTGTGATGGTTTACAAATAATTTGTGTTATCTAACTCCTTGTAAAGCCCTTTCAAATTTAATTCGTTATTAATAGAAAAAAGTGTTTGTCATGTTAAATCTAATGCCTTAATAGAATGAAAGCCTAATACAGTATTATTACTTGACAGTCTGTTGACAATAACGTTTTCAATCTGTTGGTATGGAATAAAACAGAGTCGCTGTACAATATTTACACTGTTTGTATGATTTGATGATATAAAACGTCCACTTGCTATTAAGACGTTGTTCTAACAAGGCTAAAGAGGAGCGCTAAAGCACTTAGGCTAGGTTATACGCCGGTAGTCTGTCATTCTATTGGTAACTAAACTTTTGACAGCGACAGTGATTGGGCTGACAGGACCTTACTCGCCAGTGGTGCCACCTGGTGAGTGAAAAATCGATAGCTCTCATTCAGTATTCTGTGTACCTACACAGAAGCTTTGCAACACATGGACATTTGCAACGCTTCGGGGTTGCAAGCCCCATCACACTGTAACCGTGAGATGTCAGATACCTTCTATTACAAACCTGTCACTTTCCACTGCATATATCGCCATCACACATCGACTCTGTCATTCATCTTTATAAATTTTTAGTTCTACTTGTTTACCCTTTATTTTTCACTTTTTGCGAATAGTATATGTGATCCGTCGTAGCTTTTAATGTTGTATACATGTCTTTTTGTCTATTAGATATCTGTTTCACCAAATTTTTCCAATGTTAGGTACGTGTACGTTCTTAGAGAAGTGTCTGTAGAACTCTTTCGTAACCCTTCCCACCCCGTCAATTTGCAATTTTCAGCTTTATTGTTATCACCGTAATGCGGAATAGACATCATGATATAGTGGACTATAATTTCAGTACATATTCCTGGACAGCGATTACGTATTTTCAATTATAACTTAACAATTACACGTGAATGGAATGATCGCCTTATTCCAACAATACAACTCAGGAAAAACTAATAATAAAAGATTATATTGTAATAATATAATTGTGTATGTTACAAAATCAATGCGTTCTCGTTATTATCATAACATGTCTGGAAACATGTACTAAGCTCATCGTACCTCTTTCTTTATTCTTTTTCGTGTTTTCAATCACCTTTTTCGATTGGTAGCTGTTCAACAAGAAGACATTACGTCCTTGTATGAATGAATTCCTTTTTGAAACATAATGGCGCTCCCACATGTCTTTTAGTTGCGGGTTATTTACTAATGTTTGTGGTCATTTGCAACGGCAAGTGTAGCACCCTATGAGTCATTAATGTTTCTGATTATCTCGTCTACGAACATATCCGTATAATATTACTATGATTGACCTAAATTATCAAATCTTGTCGTAACTTCGAAAACAATATAGTTCAGATTTACTCAAAGCAAATTAGTAATGAAATTATCAAATTGAAAAACAAAACTTCACTATACAAGTGAAATTCATTATAAAAGAAATATTGCATCAAACTTAGTATAGAGGTGCTAAAACATAGACAAATATTTTACGGAGGAGACATCAAGCACTAATATCTCACAAAATAAAAGTATTAAACATCATCCGTTTCTCATTCATCTCTAAACCGTAACAATCATCATCTGCTTCTACTCTATGCTTTATGTATGTACTTCGCGCATGCACCGTGCTGTACGTAGATAGTGTTTACCGACTACCTGTGCCACGTGGACCCTGCCTCAACTTACCTTGCACGTCCACTGGTACATTCTACTAAATAAAATCAATTACATGCTATTAACCAATAAAGATAAACAAAAAATTGGTGTAACTATAATATGTAGGTAAAATGAGAAATAATGTCTCAGTTAAAAAAATACATAAAGCATAATAAAGGAAGCCCACCTTACTTGTAATCGTTACATTACCGGGCGACGTTTTACTTTCCAGGGAAGGGAGATCAATGAGAAACCGTTTGTTTAAACTTTAACTCAGAAATATTATACTGTATCTAGAGAGTTTTATTAAAATACGTACATTTATCTCTCTTCCCAGGAGGCCAATGGACTATGATGGAGCATTCGTATCCGCGGTACACGAACGCGTGCTTAGGGGCGGGCGCGTTGCAGCAGGACCCTGGAATGTACATCAATAATGTGATCAACCCGCACATGGACGGCGACATCAACTACGGCCAGAGCCTCGGCGTGGCCGGACCTTCCCCTGGCCCCTCCTGCGTCGACGTGCAAGCAGCACAGGAACCCAACCCCACGCCCACCCCCAAGCGACGACGAACTACCAACCCTCAATCTGAGGAGAACTTCCAGAGGGCTTTAGAGGCTGTGCGTTTCGGAGGAATAGGATTTTGTAAGGCGGCTCGTATGTTCGGTGTCAACAATAGGACCTTATGGCTCGAGTATAAGAAAAAAGGATACCCGAATAACAGGCCCAGTATTAAGAGCAGGATCAAACGCGAGCACACGACGCCGCCGCCCGAGCACAAGGAGGAGCAACAACTGCCAGAACAACAGATGGCGCTGGTGTGCCCGCAGCATCAGGTGCCGCCCGGGTTCATCGAGTCCAACGCCGCGCACGGGTTCCCCTTGCAGGGCGTGGCGCACAACTCTCCTCTCAACATTCTGGGAGTGAATTTCAACTCAATGCAATAGAACGCGGCCTGCGGCGTGTCAGCGGACGAGTCGTACTCGTTGTGACACGAGTGGCAAGGCGCGGACTATGGGCACCACCAGCCCTACATGGCGCCTTCGCCCTCGCATGCCGCCCTCGCGCCGCCGCGCTATGAGCACTTGTACATGCATCTCGCGTTGTAAATATTAGTTCGAACACGTAACGTACTTACTATCGGTTTGGCTGTGGGCTTACAAGTCTTCACTTACTATTCATATATCTTGCGGAACTGAGACGTTTGCATCGATTAAGTACTGCTGCATGTATTGGGATGTTTGAGTGACTTACAGAATGGCCTGGTATATGGATTTGTAAGTTAACGGTACTGTGACTGGGTTGTGTCGTCGTAGTTATAGGCAATAAAATAAAAGCAATGTTTTCCATTTTATATCGAAACGGATTTTTACGCATTTTTGTGATGTAGTGACGACACGCTCGAGTCCGACACAATTTGATGGGTCCTAAAGAACGATATGAAACTAACGATAAAATCATATAATTATGCAATAATCGTTGTGCCCTGAAACTTAATAATAAATAGCAATTTATATAACATCAATATTTTTACTATATACATTAATGAATTGATGCCTCACACGTTCTTTATGGCCCTGATAAGGTAAGCGCCACAGCCGTAGAATTGCCATGAAAAAAAAAAAACGTATTTTGTAGATCTCAATAGGACCGTAAGTTATAAACTGTTCGGTAAACCAGTGTTTTTTACAATTAATATAGTGCACAACCGTAGTGTTATGTATAGTCGTCGGATCGAATGTGATAGCGAATTTATTATTGTGTAACTCCCGCTTTGGTTGCAACACTGGAGACACAGTTTCAATAAGTTCGTCATTATTCTTGCAATAATATTAATAATGATAACCTACGGTACTTTGAATTAGTTGGCGTAACGATACGGGTGTGTATCGATGTATTAGTCCATATCAAAACATATTTTTGCAGCTAGTTGTGTTATTGTATCTATGTCAGGATATGACGGTGGGTCGACTAGTTATAATTAAGTAAATTCACGCGTACTAAGCAAGCGTACCACTGTTAGTGTAGTGTTAGTAGGTATCGATACTCGCCAAGTGCCACGGTAACGTTGTAGTTGCTCGAGTTGGCTCGTCATGGGTGGATGTATACCAGTGAGCAAGTTCAATGCCCTCGCGTCTCATAGCTTGTTATTCAACAGTTGTATTTTACATACATAGCTGGTAATTTTATGAACTATTTTTACACCATTTTTTATACCTTGACGTGCATACATACAAAGACATGTAACATGAATAATTGCGTGCTGCTATTGTGGCAAACAAGTTCGTGGGGTATCGAGAGGCATGCAAAGATTTAGTTTGTAAGTTCTGAGTGGCAGGTTACACACAGTTTTATTCATAACTACCTCTATTTATAAGTATTTTAATGATAGACTGTTGGTTTGTTGAATGGAACTTCAGGGAGGACAATCGAAAAAACCATTTCGCGTAGCATTTTTTTAATCTCTATGTACACAAACCAGTACATGGGTGGACTAAATGCCGCAGGCATTTTCTACGAGTCTGACAAGGAGGACTATCGAAAAACAATTTCGCGTAGCATTTTTTTTAATCTCTATGTACACAAACCAGTACATGGGTGGACTAAATGCCGCAGGCATTTTCTACGAGTCTGACACTTGGGTGATATAATTATTTCTGATCAGAAATAGTTCAGTCAGGAAAAGCATTAAAGTGTTACTTCAACAAATAAAAGACGTGATCTTCCCAACACCATTTAATAAAAGAACATTATTTTGAAAGTACTTAAAATAGTTATCACAGTTACAACAGGCGCTCTTCCCGAGATACTGCCCAATGAGAGACTGGATCACTGAAAGAATGCAGTCTTTGTAATAGGACGTTACTACCTATTTATTGGATATCCTATAAATTGTTGAAGTAACGGTGAAATTCTTAAATCGAGCTACTAATTGTCTTGTCTCCTTGAAGTAGCATTTACACAATCATGTGTATATATTATAATATGTATGTTTTATGAATTCGTTCAGTAGTCACCTAAATCAAAGTACCTATAGTGTGATTTTCATACTATTATTTTGAAAGTGTGGTGGTGTGTCGACATAGTAGTATTGTAAAGAAGTATCTGTTACGTGTGGCTTGGCCGTGGCGAGCCATAGGGAGGGCGAAGTTCTCAGTAGGGTTGTGTTCGCATGTGCTCAGTAGATAGGTCACTCGTATTACACGAAATACATAATTACACACATATAGCCATTTGGGCATACGTAATAATCACTTGATTGATGATCAAAGTTTCTAGTGTAGCTGTAAGTTTTTACAATTTTCACTGTAATCCTTTATAATGATGATTTGCTACCTCACGCCTACAAACTGTAGTGTGCAGGTACAATAATAGTAGATCAAGAAAACCCAAAAAATTATGTTAGCTATGACTCATTTTGTACGTACTTTTCGTGCAAATATGTACATCCAATTATTTTATAATATGAATATTCCTGGAGAATTTACTATTATTTTTTAATTTCTTTATTTATCAGGTTTCATACGATAAAGAAACACACCGCCACTTCGGTTGTATAACTTTTATTATACGAATTTTGATGAAACACCAATTATATATAATGGTTTTTGATTTATACAATTATTAATATGGAATGATGATTATATTTTTAATATTGAATAACAGCCAGTGATATGAGATGCCAGTAGTAATAGTAATACATGAAAACGTTCATAACCTTTTTGCATTTACGTTGGACTGATAAAATTGCACATATCTTTTGTACGTGATGTTTGCGTTACATGTAGCGTGGATGTGCCGCGCCGAGGTACGCCTGGCGTGACAACAATCTCGCGTGAACAGGAACAATATTACCAGAGATCTCTATCGTGTAAAATAATTAGGTATTAGATCATTATGCATTTATAGGGTAAGTTACTGTTACTAGTTAGGCATAAGCGGTGCCCGTGACGTAACATGTAGGTTGTCTCGCGAGCGGAACTTGTCGTTTATTATATAATTGTTGTACGATTTATTCATGTCTTCTTTGTTACGCAGGTTATACTTGGGTACTGTTATATGACTGTGCCTATTCCTCATTATTGTAGTATTAAGCTTAACTTCACGTCACCATATACATATTGAATGTGATTTTACTATGATCTATCAGGAATTCTCAATAATATCATTGAGTCTGATTGAGCTCGATATAATGGCAATAAGTTGAGTATCGGTGTAAGAATGCTTAGTAAGAAGACGCCGCATTCAATAAAGAAAGATGGAACTGGCTAGCAGCTGTCTCACTCTTTCATAATTTGTTGATTTTATATTACATATCTTGTAGTTTTTGTGCTCGAATTCAATGTTCCTTGACACTTTTTTCAATTTGATTGGTTTATTGTTTACTTGTAGCTGTTACCTGCCGACCTGCCGTGTTGCTTATGACGACAGTCGGTCCGCACGCGAGTACAATTCGTGATCTTGTTACTAACGTCATTTAGAAGTATTACTTTTTATTTTTTTAAATCAATTAAGGAGTATTATATTTTTATATTCGCCTAGATTTACAACGATAATAACCAGTTTCGGCGTTTGCGATCTCTGTTTTTATAATGATTTTGACTGATTTTTAAAATAATTTAGAAAGTTTTTCTCGTTTAGGCTGGCAACATAGCTGCTTCGTTTCGGAGGTCATTCAAATTGTAAATATAATATGTATATAATTGAATATGTATCCCTGAATGTTGCTCTGAATAGCGTGTATCTCGAAAGACTGCTCAGAAATGGAAAGTAAATGTTTTCTAATAATAATAATGACACTGAACTCTATAATCTGGAATTAGGGCTTTTATAATAAGTATGTATGCAAACAGTATTCTATATGCAATGTTTTAGGTGATTATACATTTAAAATAAACCGCCATATATTTCTAATCTTTTTACGGAGGTAAAGCTCCTGAGTATTGAACACTATATAGGTAACTAAGTCCATATTAATATATGGATCAAGTTATGTTTGAAGTGTTGGAGTATTGGTGTATTGTTGTGTTTACTGTTTTTTTTTCCTCTTCGTTTAGTGTTCAGATTATAGAGAAGGAACTGCTCTCGCATTTATTTTGATTTTCTCTCTGTTTTATTAAATAAGTGCCATTCAAGGTGATTTCAAAGTATTATGTTGGTCAAGAGGTAATTGGCCGCGAAATATGTGTTACCAGAAGACAAAAAGGTTTTAGTTACAAATCCTCATGTGTGGGTGATGTTAGACGTTGATCAAGTATTATTTTTAGGTTATTACATATATGTATACCACACTCTTATTTAGATTATAAATGTACATTAATGGGCCGTAGATGGCAGGTGAAAGTAATTATATTCCTGAATTTTATATATTAAATATCGATTATCAATTCGCAAATACAATCAAATAAATAAAATTATTTTAATTTCAATTGACATCATGTCCGAAGACAGCTTTAATATGAATCTAATTTAATAATAAGATGTATTAAAAAGCAGCTGTTTTTAAACTTTTATTTTTCGTAAACAATTTACAATGATTTTACATCACAAAATGTAATGTATCAGTATTCATTTGTTTAGTTCGAAACGAACAAGTATTTTAGATCTTATTTTTATCTTTAGCGTCTGTCTAATATTACACCCACATACGAGACAGTGATTTTATGTACCAGTGTTTTTCGAAATAGTAATTATAATCAGTAATATTAAAATGTATATTACTATATTAAATAATTGTGGATCGTAGAAAAGTCGACAGTCGTGGACATGACGCTACCATAATACAGCAACCAATACGCTTGTATTTACAGTATTGCAAGTATTCTCAATATATTTCTTAACTCGATGCCTTATAATGCAGACAGAAAGCAATATTTTTATAATAATAATAAATAATAGAAGTAACCGAAGTGAATGTTCACGATTGTCGAAGTAATGAGGTTGTTCATATACCTACTGGCAAAATTTGTGAATTTTGTGCTTAGCACTAATAATAACTGTTCTATACCAAAATAGATAATAAATAATTTTGATTATTTTGTACTTCATTTCTTTTAATTTTACCCCTACCCCTGCGGGCTTTCTTTATGTGCTTCTTTAAGGATAAGAAGAAAAACATTTGATGAGTTCCATGAATATTACTCCATATTTTGGCTCAATTCTAAGAATAAAAATGAGTTTTCGTTATTAAACACCATGTCATATGCAGTACATAAGCCTAAATAGAAGTTGCTAATAATATTCAGCAGTTCACTATGCAAATTCTATCATGATTTAAACAACATTAAAATTGTTAGGGCAATGACGTCTTAAGCGTAACTACATTAATTTATCTTTACTGAAATAGTGAAATCATATTATATACCTTATTTTACACAACCTAACATTTCTTTTCCGTTGTTGTTTTACTTTATTCCAATTCTAGTTAAACTTTAAACGTGTCTTCATAACCTCACGCCTGTCTCCCATGGGTGTAGGCTGAGACTAACACCAATTGCTACTATTCTTACATACCTCTTTCGCTTAATTCTTAATACAAATTATAGTTGAGGTACTGACTATTCTGGTAAATTAGAGCTACGCTGGTGTAACGTTCGACTACACCTGCAAAAATATCAAATATGTATATTTATTTTTTAATGAGTAAGAATATTCATTTTAGTCCTTTTCAATCATTTACACATTTCTGAAGTAAAGTGCTTGTATCATAACGTAAATAGTTTAAAAACTATAACATCCAGTGTTACAATGTTACATCTATATATTTTTACAAATAAAGATTTATAAACAAATGATGTAGCTCCAGCCACGGCGAACTCGGACGTGGGTTGGCACCGGCGGACCAAGCACTTCAAGCGCCAGTCTCGCGTGCCCGACGAACAGAACATTCGGAAGCAGACTTCAGAACCCCTCCCACCGACCGCCGCAGTATCCAAAGCTGCTCCCACGCTGCAGAAACACGAGTCCTACCCACAGTACAGCGCCACAAAGGTAAAATTATAGCGTAACATACGAAATTATAAAATGCTTCCCTTTTTCTTTTGCTATGATTGAGTAAACACAAGCTGTTTCGTACTCGGCCAGTAGTGAAAGTGGTAATTGGTGTTGAGAATCTTGCATCAGAAAAAATTATAGTCAAACTATTCTTCGAATACGTTAGTTGGAAACTGTGATTTATAAGACATTTTTTGATAAAACACGTATCGATGACTTTTCAGTTGCTATGTTTCAAGTCATAAATGGTCATAGTGACAAGGCCGCCCATTGTACTCAAATGATTTAAATTATAATATAGAATTAAGAGTTGTTTTATTATGTTACTAAAATTGTTGGTGTTCTGAATTTACAGGCTACTCTTACACGGAAGCCACGACTGGAACAAGAAGTTGGTTCCCTGTTAATCCGGGCGGTCTCGAGCGCCGAGCGACAGTCCTCGACAAGTACGAGTGCGAGCGCGACGAGCGCCACGAGTGCAGCAAGCGCAACGAGCACGGCGATGGTGGCCACGTCGGCGTCCGCGTCCTTTGAATCCACTGCGTCTGACACGTCGCAGACGCAGCGCGCCAGCCACACGCCCGCAGTGCGCTCCGGTCCGCCACTCAGCTGCAACTTCTGTTGGAACACCGTGGACGAGTGCGGCAGGATCCTCCGGCGGAAGACGCAGTACCACTGCCCCGAGTGCCGCACCAACCTCTGCATCGTGCCCTGCTTCCACGAGTACCATGACGGCCCCGAGAGCGACTCCAATACTAACACTAACGCTCGGTGAAGTTACGTCTCCCACGATGGTACGAGGCGTTTGTCAAAGAAATGGTGGGTGTTCAGCGTGAACCGTGTCTGAGCAGTGCCGTGCGGCGATACTGTTATATTCAAGGACGATTCAATGTCTTCTACGGATTGTCTTGGTGGTCGATGTTAGATCAAATGGACTCACTGTTATAGATAATGCTTTGAGTAGGGTACTTAGTATCAATTTGTCTGCCAGTTTTAAAATTTCAGATGTCGTCAACGTACAACGTAGAGCTTTTAGATTTACACACTTAATATATTCAATTTCTTCGTATGACTATAATGTTTATGACATTATATTTAATCAATATTCTTTCTCGTGTAGTGGTAGAGTTGTACTATAATAGTAAAGTTTTAAACAAGTTTATTCGTAAATTCATGTCTGTGAAACATTTTCTTGATCGAGATCAAGGAATCTCGATAGTAGTAGAAATAGTATTATGAGTACATCAAACTAGGAAACTATTAATAATATTGACTTCATACAAATACTCGGACTCATATTTGAATCAAATAGTCTTTCTACTAAATGAAAATACGCAGCAGTAGCCATCGTACGAAACTCTCATTTCATATTGACCGTTATTAGTAAGTTTTAAAGTTTCGATCTTAGTGTGTCTATACTGTAACGATATATTTGTGTCAACAGAAAGTAGCCGTGAACAATAATATAATCAATATCGTCCTATATCTGTGTGTCTATATTACTACTTTAAATGATTTCAGTAGCATACAGATATCCTTGAAATGAGCTCGAAATTTGTCAATCAGAGCTTAAATACTTTTTTATAAGAAAACATTTTAAATAACTATATTAACAAAATGTATTTTTGAATGATTCCTCATTCTGACAACGATTTCTATATACTCTTAACGACAAACGTAATTTTGTTAATCATATTAATATTCAGGAAGTATATGTATAAGTTATGAACAAAACAATGTATCTGTCGATCTCTGTGACTTGTACAAATCGTATTTTCTTATACCTTTACTATATTTAAGAACACGACCTTTCTTTGGCAAATGCACATTCTTCGAGTAATTTTGTAAGGTGTAAATAGTATATCGTTAGTCCTAACTTAAAATGTAACGGTCCGACCGTTTTGACAAATGTTTATAGACCTCCTTGAACTGGTTACTATTGTATTAATTATTGATAGCCGCGGTACATTGGAATGGAGTGAGATAAATGTAAGTGCATTTTTCGGTGAAGCGTAATTATTACTAACGAATGAGTACCGTTGTAGATATAAGTATAACGTGCGTGTCATACACTGATGTTAGATTAGTACAGGGTGGACATTTATTTATCTGCACCCTTTACATTCCTCACTCGATGTACTCAATAAGTTTTACCAAACACTGGTCTGGATTATGGAAACGTTTTGAGGATTACTACTGTAGTGCAGATAAGTAAATTGGTATATAATATGACTCTTGTAAACATAATTATATTGTATTATAAATTATACGACATATCGTCTGTTTTCATTTTGAATTGTATACACTTTGTACTTTTGCTGCAAGCAAATGTTATATCAATAATAATATGTAGTATTGATGTTCGATATTGATGAACCGTATTGATGTAACGTAGGAACATGATAATAATGACTATATTTCAACGTGGTATCTATCAATGTTATAAATAAACTTCGGACTTAAGTCTGCCAATAAAATGACATGATATATTTTATGTATTGATGTATAGTGATTGGTAACTAAAGGGAAACTAATCTTTATGTACCAATAGGTATGTAATATTTTTGGATTGAAAGTGTTGGATATTTAAAATTGTTATTTTGTTTTGTGGCAACAAATGCCTCTTGTTATATTATTATGACAGTAGGAGATATAAACTAAATGTTATTATAATATGTATTGTACCGCTGGAGGTACCTACTCACCATTTTTGAGCTGTTGGCTATTTCGAAAAGTGAATTGATAAAACGACTGTTCCGTAGGTGTTTTGGTACGTATTCAATGTTATCGATTTTGAGAAAACGAATTAGTCTGTTAATGAAAATTGATGTTTACATTCTTATATTGAATACCTACTATAAGGAATTCGTTGTGATGTGATGAAAGTAGGTACTTTAAAAGTGCAGTAGCCTACTTTTGTATACTTATTACATACATTAATATCAAATAATACTTAGGGCGTCATTTTGGAAACACGTTTTACTATTTGATAGTATGTGTAATTGAACTTTCTATTCTATTTGAATTTTTCTCTGTGTCAATGCACTTGATATTAATACGTGTACTATGTGTCTTTTCAATATTATATCTTTAAATAACTTATATGTGCTGTTACAACGTAGAACGAAGTTGAAACTCGTTAGTATTAATTCAGATTATATTCTCCCTAGTGTCGAGGGAGTGTATTATTAACTGATATCATACGTACGGTAGTATATAAATGTCTTTATGTGTATAAAACGTGCGTTACTCGTGGCATTCAGATTATATAGATGATCTAAGATGTTATTATGAACAGTATGTGCACAGTAACGTAATATTAACTTACGAATTTACTTACAACGTTATTACCTCCGACTTTATAATTGCTTTAATGTATCTCGTATGTATAAGGAACACATCCGTTTATATAACTGCATTACTTTTCAGCTCTAAACATTTGTAGAATCCCTGAGTATGCCTGTAGGACCGTAGTTACACTTCGAGACAAAAATACATAAATGTGTTATGATATATTATTATACGCTATGCCAAACTTAGCAAAATTGCTATATATTTATCCTTGAATTTTTCAATATAAAAGTGTACTATTAAGTATCCTAAGTTTAATAAGTACATATCCAGGTACATAAGTACCGAACGACTTTTACGTAAGATAAGATTACTCGCATCAATCAATATTGCGAGATTTATCTACACATTTTAAAATGGCTCAGGTGTACTTTAATGTGTATTTAGAAATGAAACATTAATAGATCCAGTACATTTTAGAGAATGCTGATATATTGTATAGAAATGAATAATTTGTATACGTTTTCAGCTACAAACCTGAAAATATAAAATGCCACCGAAATGATTTAGCTGTTCGCTGATTTTTTATTGCATAGAAAAAGTATTTACATTTTCTTTACTAAACTAAAATTGTTTACGTAATTATGAACAACGTTAAATTCAAACTTATCTTGTGTAGCTGTTCTATAGGTATACTAGCTTTTCTCTACATATAAATGAAAAGTTTTCATGTTTCGAAGTTCTAAGCAATAGG